ATGTACATGAATTAAAATCTTGAAAAAGTTTTGAGTTTTCTCAAATTCTAAATCTCTTTTAAATATTTAAATATATATTTCGTACGTATTGAATATGAATACGTATAATCTGTAAACTTTTAAAATAAACTAGCTAACAAAAGAATCAATTTTTTATTAAGTATTAAATATGTTGAAAAAGTGATTAGACCTACATTTGTATACTGGCTTTACATTACTTGTGGTGAAATTGCGTTTGTTTCTACCATAGCATTGCGTTGAAAATATAAACAAAACTAAGATGGTAAGATGGTGATACAAAAGAAGGCTTAGAAGGGCGTAGAACAATTTTAAGTCATTGAAAGTATGGAAGATAATACAATTAATAATGAAAATGGTTTCAGGCGCGGATGTAGCATTTTTTGATGTTTGAGGTGCCTAACTTCCAGACATAGAGCAAACTCCAAAAAGTTATATGTTTATACTTATATCAAATAAGGATGCTTTTTCAAAAAATTGCAATGATTGGAGCCTGGAAACAAAAAATCCCTAAAATTTTAATTACACCTGCCCCAAACGTGAAAGCAACAAGTTGATAAAATAATTTTTATACTATTCTTAACTAAATCAATATTCATCGATAAACATTAAAATTCACACAATAATCTTTAAGCGTTCAAAAACTATGAACATATAAAGTTTGGACCCCCCTTAGTTTGAAGGGGTTGCAAATTTTATTAGGCCCTAGTTGATAAACGCTAAGAGATTATTATTCGAGTTTTAAAATTTGTTGATGAATATAAAATAGTTGAGAATAAAAAAAAAAATTTTTTATCAACTTGTTGCTATCACGTTTATGGGCAGGTGTAGCTAAACTTTTAGAGCTTTTTTGATCCCAGGCAATAATCGCAACTTCTTGCAAAGCAACCTTATTTGGTATAAATTTAAATATATAACTTTTTGGAATTTGCTTCATGTCTAGAAGTTAGGTATCTCAAACATCAAAAAATGCTGAATCCGCGCCTGGGTTTTGTATTTGTATATACACCATGTTTATTTTGTGAAGAACTTTATTCACAATCTCAGAGCCTTGGATTTGCTGTCAAAAATTTTAAGCTAATAGATAATCATTATCAAATTACTGCTTCGAGAGCCTGGAGCCTAAATGTTTACAAATTAAATGTTTGTAGTATATTTTTATTCATGTTTAAATTTAAAAAAATATATGCTACTAAAAACTTTGAAGGTCTTTTTTATATATTAAATCATAAATATCAAACAAACCAGTCATTTCATAATTATTGCACAATTATTAGATACCAAAAAACTTATTAAAACAATCTAAATATATATATTTTTAAATAACTTTTAAAAGTTTAAGAAAAAAACAGTCACTTGGTTATGATATAACCTAAATTCTCCATTATTTCAAAATTGCATACACCCCTCGCTCTTTCCTTCCCCATCCCATTTCCATTCTCTTTCCCCCTTCGATCTTTACAAACCCAATAATTTTTATATATTTTAAATTTTTTTAAATTTGTTTGGTATGTATATTAAAAAGAAAAGTTTAAGGCAAAGAGAAAATAACAAAAATTATCTAAAAATAATAATAATTGTAACTATTTAATGAGAACAAACATTTTATTTATTTTATTTATTCTTTGTTAATATCCAAATGACATCTTGTTCGAAAGTTTTTTTTACATTTATAAGCAATTTTTTTTTTTTTAAGTTCATGTAAAAATAATTTAACAAAAATTTAAATGTTTTACATTTACTTCTACAGTCTTTTTTACTTTTGATTAATTTTGAATGAAATGACAAATAAAATATTAGTACCGGATGGTTAACATTTTTCTTCGTCGTATGATGCAGCGGCGTCGCTGAAGTTGTGTCACCTAGAGCGGTATACTTTTGGTGTTTACCCTTAACACCAACAGGTATAAGGGAAAACTAAAAAAATTTCTCTTTATCTAGAAGTTTCTAAAACAAAAAAATAGTCCTTTAGAAAAAAATCTGACATTGTTGCTTTTTATTCAATATTGCATCACCCCTCTAAGTCACGTCGTGATGGTGTCACCCAAAGAAGTTTTCTTAAATAAACCAATGTAAACATCTTTATATACTGATAACAAATTATAGAGCCGGTAGTAAGTAAAATAATTATAATTAAAAACAAATTATTATAAATCAGTTTTGAAAAAAAAAATAGTTAACTCAAATAGAAAATGAAACTTGATTTTTTATTTAAAAATCAAGTTATTTAAACTTCAATTTTATTTCTCTATCATCCAAATTTGTTGTTAGAAACAGTTTATGTTAATAATCTATAACGCTTAACAAAATTGTAGTTACCAAAAGCAATTTTTAATTCATTCCAAATACATGAATGCGTTGTCATACCACCAATCTTAATATATAGTTTTGATTCACTCATCTTAATATAGAGTTTTGAAAATTAAAAATGTTTTTTTAACTAAATAAGAAAATTAAAAACGAATAAAATATATTTGTATATGTAAAAGTACTCATGTCCAAAACTCTTTTGTTTTCGATGAGTCAATAGTTTTACTCAATGAGTCCACAGTATTACTCGATGAGTCAATAAGTTACACCTACTTTTTATCATAGATATTGTAAATTATGACATATTAAAATTTTATAACAATGACTTTTTTTAAACTATCAGTATCAATAACCCTCGTAGCCAATAGGAGTAACATTTTTCAAAATTAATATTATCTTTAATCAAGTTTTAATCAACCAGTCTTCCATTAAAAAATCAAAACACGTTTTCATCTAAACTAGATTAAATTTTAATCCTGCAAATGTCTGCTGAAAAATAAATGTGCATATATATATATATATATATATATATATATATATATATATATATATATATATATATATATATATATATATATATATATATATATATATATATATATATATATATATATATATATATATATGCACATTTATTTTTCAGCAGACATTTGCAGGATTAAAATTTAATCTAGTTTAGATGAAAACGTGTTTTGATTTTTTATATATATAGATATTTATATTTTATAGATATGTTTTATATATATTTATATTTTATTTTATAGATATTTTTTATATATATATATAGATATTTATATTTTATAGATATTTTTTTTATATATAGATATTTATATTTTATAGATATGTATCGACTTTTAAGTAAAGCGCTACAATTTAGTTTAGTTAATTGCATAGTAAAACAGATTTTTTTATTTTATTGAGGTGTCTCAAGAAGTCCTTACGGTCTTATCACAGAGCACCGCGGATTGGTGAACTTGTGTTCGAATCAATGTTAGACAAAGATTTTAAACGCAAAAATGAAAGGTTTGTTAAGTTTATGAAAAGTAACTTAAGCTTAATTGAATTAAAATGGTTTGACTCTAATGCTATATTAGTTTTTGCGTCATCTTGAGTTGCGCCATCTTTAGTCAGTTTAACAGTAAATATTTTATAATATATGAATTTTATTTAAGCATTTAGTTAATGATCTCATAACTTTTGTCTTCAATAAACTTTGCACCGAGATTTTAATAATTTTACTCTATAAGCTTTTTAGCTTTATCTTGTTTATAGTTTGAATAACTTCCGATTCTATAGATTACAATATAGATTTCAATAAAGATTATAATTTCGGATTATTGAACATAGCTTTTTATGTTTATCTTTAATGCTGTTCCTTTAAACTTTTCCTTGAATGATTATCAGATAATTCTAATTACTTATTTATAAACAAAAAATATATGCTTGAGTATTATTGTGCTTTAAACTTATGTAACGTCATTAAACTACAATACGTCACCGAACTATTTTACGGTAGAAAGCAAAAAAAAAAATAAACAGTAAAAGTAAACAAAGAAAAAAAAGCTGCAAAATTGGAATTCAAAAAGTGCTTTTATGTACAACATTATCATTGTTTCCAAACATGAAAAAAAAAGGACTAATCCTCGGTACTTATGTTTATTTAAAACTCGTAAACTTATATATTTAAAACCCGTCAATCTTGAAGTAAAAAAATTATTTCAATGTTTATATTTGTAAAGATTATTAAAAAAGATGGAAGTGATCATTACATAAAGCTCCTAAAACATATTTAACTTAAAGAAAGTAAGATTAGAAACTATTGTAAAATGATGTAGAATTTTTGACATATCTAAAAGAAGTTTTAATCACTGAAATTATTGCCAACTTAGCACGTGACATATTCTTGACTACCCGGTGGGAAATGAGCTAGCGACTAGCGACTTTTTTTATTTTATTCTTTACTAATGTCTCTAACATCTTTAAAAATTCGATTTTTAGTGTTGAGTCTATTATAATTATGAGAATAATTGAACTTTAATTGCGGTTGCATATCGTAGCTTTGTAGCTAGCTACAAAATATCTAAAAATCTATAGCTGGTTGATAGCTACATACCAAAATTTTTTTGATAGCGATTTTATTACGATATGAAGGTAGCTACAATAGCCTTTGAGTCTTTTGATTATTAAGCTAGCTGTCCTCGTAGCTAAATCGCTGTCTTTATCATTACAAATATCGATAGCTTTTCGCTAACTTAAAAAAGCTAGCGATCCTTGTGGCCAAATCGCTGTCTTTATTGTAACGATTATAGCTAGCTATTCGCTAGCCGATTTCCTACTGGGTAGTTTGAGAAATACTGGATAATAGAAACCAGTTGTTTCCAGAGAAACAAGTAGTTTAAAAGAACCATCAGCAATTTTCAACTATCAAAAACAATCCTAATTTATAGTAGTTTTTTCACGAAGAGTGCTTAAATAAATATTTTATCAAGCAAAAAGAAATCAGTAAATTTTTGACAATTTTGTTTTTAAAAATATTTAACTTTTTGCATTTCATAATCGTCTTTTATGAAATTTAGAAATTATTTTTAAATTGTAAATTCAAAACAACTTTTATTTTTTAGTTTATTTCATGCAGCAAAAACAGATATAATAAGTATATTAATTAAAAATACCTTGTCATCAACAATTGTCACCAATTGCATGCATCCTGCATGCATCTTTTTTGCACTAAGTATTATATAAAAGGTATTTCTTTAAATGCAGTTAGAAAACAAGTTCCTATTTTAGACATTTGTGGTTCTTTGTTGCTATAATACAAAATATAATTGATGTTTTGAATGTGATGTTGAAGATGAATTATTCATGTTCTGCTTATTAAGTATCAGATATTTTTATATGATTTCAGTTATTGAAAACGTTTTTTTTATTTTATTTTTAAACTTTGTATATTAAATATAAAATTTTAAAACAAAAACAAAAGTTCAATCAAATTATCAAACAAGATAATAAATGTACTTTATATCTGTTAGACAGGAGTGAAAAAGAAAGAGAGTAAGTAAAGATAAAAAAAAAAGTGTTTGAAAAAAAAAATTTAGGAGATAAAACTAGTGAATGAGAAAGAGAAAAAAAGCAAGGGAGAAAAAAGTAGAGAAAGAAAGAAGAGAGAAAAAAAAAAGAGAAAAAGGAGAGAGAAAAAAAAAGAGAAAAAGGAGAGAAAAAAGTAAAATAAAAAAATTGACTAAGGCTAAGAGAAAGAAAAATTAATAAATTTTTTTTTTATACATTTGTTGGTCGTATTCCAATTATATATTGCCAAAAATAAAAAAAAATAGATTTTTACACAAAATATGATAATTAATTATAATTAATGATAAAAAGTATAACAAATATAAAACAAGGTATCTGAAAGAAAAATGAAAAGAAGATCAAATAAAAGAGAATCTTGTCGTCAGAAAAATAAGTTCATAAAAGCATTTAACAAAGGTAACAACAATAAAATTAAACTTCTACAAAGTTTCAAAGTATATAGTATATAATCAAAAGAGACATCACGCAGATCTACTCACCAATATTTAAACGTACCAAAATATAATAAAATGTTAAGTAAAAAGAATAAAAATCAACAAAATAAGTAAGAATAAATGTAAATAAGTAAAGGCAAAGTTATTAATTCATATTATTAATAATAACATCATATGTCATCTAATGAAAAAGTTAGGGTTTTTAATTTACTTTTAAAAAAGCGAAAAACAATGGGTAGTTCAAAATTGCTATTCGGCAAAACAATTTTATTCCAAATGTGTTGTGCCCGATAGGCAGTACAAAGCTGATTAAAGTTCGTTTGACAAAATGGTTCATTTAAAAAATCAGTATTTCTTAAATTGTATTTGTTGATAAGTTTCGGAGTTTGGTTTAAAGACAGGTATGGAAAACTCATTTTTCTACATGTATACATAGCATAAAACATTATATATATTTAGCTTGTATATAATTAAAATTCTCATTTCAATAAAATAATGTTTTGATTGAGAAAAGCAATTTGAAAAACAGATTAAACGGATTGCATGTTTCTGACGGCGATAAAGACGTTGCAACTTATTTTTTTCTGTACTACCCCAGGCAATATTAGTATAATTTAGATAACTGTGTATTAATGAATAATAAAGTTTGATTAAAGTTTTCTTATTGAGGTAGGTTCGTACTTTATATGAAACTCCTATTTTTTTTGAAATTTTAGTGCTTATGAAGAAATAAAAAAATGTGAAATTTTAGTGGTTATGTAGTCGATATGATGATTCCAAGTGATGTTTTCATCAGGATAAATACCTTAAACATTTGTTACGGAATCCTTTTTATTTCAATTTAATCGACTTGTTCTGATTTTAAACACCTTGATAACTTAGTACTTTAACTCTGCGCATAAAAATTGAAGAAAAATAATAACATTCAAAAAATATATATTTTAACTTGGCATGAGTTTTATTAAAATATAAGATTAATTAGTTTTTCGGTTAGAAAGATAAGAGAATAAGTAAATGATAGTACTATGATATATATATATATATATATATATATATATATATATATATATATATATATATATATATATATATATATATATATATATATATATATATATGTATGTATTTTGGTATAACATATCAATTTTAAAAACTATATCATATCACATATCATATACAAAAACTACACACAAATATATTTGACAAGTACTGTATTGAAATACTTCGGAGTTATTGAGTTGAGAGGGGGTTATAACCACAATTGAAATAAAAAGGAGCTTCCTCAACTGCTGCTCAAATATTGTAGGAATAGCATGATATGATTATACCAATATACAAATTCGTAAAAGAAACACATTACACAAGTTATAAGAAGCTTATTAGGTAATTTCTAGTCTAGTTCCACAACACACTAAAAAACTTTCCATTCAAATAAATAAAATATATATTATGATTAAGACATTGTCTAAATATAACTTAATTGTCTCAAATTTATACTTAATATATTATGTATATTAAGTAAAAACCTTGTTTTAATACAACTTACAACTGTCTTAGACAACTGAATTGAATGTCTTAAAAAAAAAGGCTCTGTATTTTTATTGGCATTTGATTAAACTGCAAAATAGTTTAATTACGGGTAGACTTGGTAGCCGCCGCCACTATTCATCCGCCGCCAATTTTGTTAACAGCCAGTAACCGCCAGTTGTTTACTAATAGCCACGATTAGCCGCTACTTTAATTCAAATCTAACCGCCGCTAAAAATACGGTTTAAAATACGGCTTACGCTTGTTTTTCTAAAGAAATTAAAAGATTTCATTCTTTTTATTGAAAATATGATTTGTGTAAAATAGTTTTGTTTATTTTAATACTATAATCAGGTATGTTTAATTCTGAAACGATTTTCTTCATACTTTTTCGCGCTCTTGTTTGGCTCGATTTGTTATTTGATAGCATTTGCCTTCGCATATGAGACAACCTGCTTGCTTTCCAGAAAAATCTTCAGGGTATATTTCTTCTTGTTTATATAGAGTTTTAATATGAAAAGATCAATAGATAATACAATCTTATATCGTTGTGAAGCAAATGAAAGTTTATCTTTAAAATATTTAAAGATTAAGTTGTGCAGCACCTTAAAAAAAAAATGTGCATGGCTTGTTTGAAGTTATTATGGAAAATTAATAAATGAAGATGGTCAAAATTTAGATGAGAATAAATATTATTGCAAACGATGTTTGGAAATTGAAAAAGTTAAATTGGATAATAACAAGCCTTCGCACTTGTCTAAAATTCATTCAGTAAAACGTTCAACTTCTAGTGGAAACATGAAAAATTATTTGTTTTTAGTGCACAAAATTGTCACTGATAAAATTTCTACCGAAGAAAAAAATAACAATATATTAAGAACTTGGTGCAGCGCAAGTGGGTCTGCGTTAAAAGTAAAGTTTGATATTACTCGTGACATTGCACTTTGGTTTTGTACCGATTTGTTGTCGCTGAATCTTGTAGAAAGAACCGGTTTTGTAAAATTTTTTGAAAAAAACTTTGGTATAGTCACTCCATCACGTTCATCATTGACATGCGGAGCTTTAATTAATATGTTCAAAGCAGTCAAGACCAGTGTAAAGAATATTTTGAAATACTCAAATGCTGCTTCTTTACTGTTTGATGGCTGGACAGATAAATACAAAAGATTATCATTTATTGGTGTAAAGTGTTCAGTAATAACAAGTGAATGGGATAGAAAAATTTTTACTTTAGCTTGTGCACCGCTGGAAAACCACACTGCAGAAAATATTGCAGATTTTATAAAGGATGTTATTAAAGATATGTTTAGCAAACAGTGTGAGGAGTTACGTTTGCATAATGTTCATGGTGGTGCTGCAAACATGATGAAGACTTCTAGACTACTGGGTTGTGAAGAACCTCAACATTGCTTAGCTCGTGTGCTGAACTTACTATTGGTCTCAACAAATGTCCTGAAGTCTTAATATTGCTTAAGAAATATCGAAACATTGTAACATGTTTGAGCTTCAAATCAACTTCTCTTATTAATGAATTTTTGTGTACAAATGATAATGTAGATCTTTATGATAAATTAAGAAAAATTGCAGAAGTGAAAGAACTTGTTAACCTAGATGAACAATTCCCAATTCAAGCAAATCAAGCAAGCCCAAATGACAATCCTATCATTTCAGATAGTGAATATGAATGTCAAGAAAAAGTTTTATTTGTAGAAAATTTAAGGTATAAATCTAAACAGCATAAAAGTTTAAAACTCCAAGTATGTAGTCGGTGGAACAGTGCACTACTTATGATAGAGTCTATTGATCAGCTTTTTAATGGTGTAAAAAAACTTTTAAAAAAAACTGGCAAAAGAGAACTGTGTCTCAACGAGTTTGAGCTACAATTGCTAAGGGAACTTGTTAAGTTCATGAAACCTTTTCAAAATTTGACAGAAGTTGTGAGTGGGGGGAACTCTCTCTCTATTCTGCCATTGATCAAACATAAAATTGCATCGCTTCTCAAGGTTTATATTGATGATTTACCTGTGATAAAAAAGTTAAAAATGGTTTGTAGCTTAAAATTAGAACAGCGCCTAAAACTGTCACAAACGGCCAAATTATCATGTCTGTTAGATCCAGCAGTTAAGTCTATCTTCCCAAATAATGAAGCAATTAATATACTATTAGAGACTTTATCAAGTTTTACAGAAAGTTTAAATTCACATGCAGCAGTCAACAATGTAACTCATAACAATGACAATAAACTATTAAAAGATGGTAAGCTAGAAATAAATAAATAAAATAAAAATTGTAAATGATAAAAAAAAAAATAGTTTAGTAAGTTGTATGATATGTTTAATTATAGTACTATAAGTAAAGTTCTATACTATAGCATGGTTGCATATAGTTTTAAAATTTTAATATTAGAATTTTAAAAGTATATGCAATGTTTGTATTGAACTATTTGCACGGCTGATTTACGTTACTTTGCTGATTTATGTTGTAGAAAATTATCCTACTGCAAAGAAATTACTGCTTCAAGAAATTAAAGCTGCGCTTCCGAATTACGATCAAAACGGACATCAAAGTTTAGCTAGGGAAGTCAATAATTGTATTAATTGTCTACCAACAGAAGAAAAAGAAAAAGACCCTATAGAGTTTTGGAAAAATAATCATAAAAAGTTTCCCCATCTGGCATGTCTGGCAAGTGAATATTTATGCATTCCATCAAGCAGTGTAGAAGTGGAATACATGTTTTCCACTGCTGGATTAATTGTCAATTCTTGAAGAAGTTTACTAGATTCAACTAATATGAACATGATTATTTTTATACATGATAACATTGGTTTATTGTAAATTAATTAGGGTTGTCATGTAAATTGAATAATTATAATAGTTTCAAATAATACATGGTATTTAATTTATATTCAGCCGGCTAGCTAGTTTTATTTTTTATTAGTCAGCCGCCACTAGGTTTACAACCGGCTAGCTGGCTATCCAGTCACTTGTATTAGGGAGCCAGCCATATGTTCTATTTACTGACGGCTAACAAGTCTAATTACGGGTATTTAAAAAGCCTATCATTGCATTATCTATTTGTAAATAAAATATTATGTGCAAATATTATATATGTTAGAAATTTTTACTATATAAGTATAGTTAAATATATAAAGTTTACAAAAACATAACAAAAATGTCAACAGTTTTTGAAAATCAATTAAAGTTTTAGTAACTTTTATTTATCATTAATATGATAAAAGTTTAATATCTAATTCGAATGTAGAATATAAAGAAATAATGAATTAATTATTAGTATCACAGAATATAATGCCTAAAAACTATTAAATTAAAATTAGATTAAAAATAACATCTTTTTCGATAACGGTTTTTCAACCATATTAAAAATGCGCAAGTTTGTAAAATCAAGTTGTGTTTACGTTAGAAAGCTGACGTTGCTTTGATGACAAAAGTAAAAACGTAAAAAAAGCAACGTTGTTCCAAAGTCGTTCCAACGTTAATCAGATTATTGTTTTACGTTAAACAACCAACTTTGTTCCAACGTCGTTTTAATGTTAACATTTAAGAATTTGGATGATAACGTTTTTCCGACGTTGTTCCAACGTTTGATAGCAAACGTTAGAACAACACCGTTATGCCGACGTCGGAACATTGTTGGAATTTAGTTAACTTGCGTCGCGACCAAAATACAACCAAATTACATCTACGGCTTGACGTCTTTTTCTTACTGGGTAGCAACATTCGAAATTTTTGCTATTATTATAAAGCTATAAACTAAAAACTCTTCAGACTTTTTTTTTTTTTTTAGCTTAAATAATAAATCTTGACTAATACTTCAAATAGCGAACTTTTTATTATTTTTATTTAAGAAATTAAAACCAACTTTGCTAACTTGTAAATATGCAATTTAGTTAAGTGGTAAGTATGATGTCGTTAAGTGGTAAGTATGATGTCGTTAAATGTAAGTATGATGTTGTTTTTAAAGTAAAAAAAGTGAAGTTATTGTATTAAAGCATTAGTTCACTTTAATAAAAAAGATTGCTTAGACGGACGTTGGGGTGGCAGCGTAGCTAACTTCATTACTGATATATTTATCTCTCATGAAGTTAATTAGTTCTATAAAACTTTTCTCAAATAAGTTTTGGTATTTGTAAAAAATAACAATAAACAAATTCTTATCTAGGTTATCCAAAGACCAAATGATGCTAACTTAATATAATATATCGCTGAATCCTTCAAATTAGCTCAAAGCTTAATTAAAAGGCTCTGCGATGGCTGCTTTATTGTCGGTAGTTTTATTATGTCACATTTCCTATGTCCAGACATCCTATGGTTGCTCAAACTATATGTTGGACTTGTTATTTACCTACAGCAGCAATTCTATTTTAAAATTGTTTTCTAATGCTATATTAGATAACAATACTAAGGGATGCTTTAGTACCATTTGCTGAATTTTTCAAACCGTTTCAAACCGTTTACCGAAAGTGAATCTCAGTTGTTTAGTTACAGCAGATGATTACGATTCAATTCCAAACTTTATTGCATCGATCAACTAGAAAATTTTATTTCTGCACAAAACCGCAGGACAATTGTTTACCTTATTAATTTCTAACAACTTTACAATTTGCAAATATTTTATAGCCAAGGTTAATAAAACAAAGAAAAAGTATGATCCTTGGATTACTCCACATATTGAAAGCGTAATCCGAGCAAAAAAATCCGCATGGCATATCAATTACTCAACTAAATGGAAGAATAATAAACTCAAAATAAACAGCTATCTTCTTAATCGTTTCGTAAAAACTGAAATATTAAAAGCAAAAAGATCACATAAAAAAAATTATATTAATATCCCTCTGAATAATTTCTATCCTTAAAAAAGTGATACTAACCTGAATGAACTTAAAATGACAATATGGTTTTTCTATTTCAGACATTATTTACTTACAAATCTAAACCCCTATAAATTTTTTTTTCCATTTACAAAAACTATTCATAAATTCTTTAATTTTGGAATCCCAGCCGGCAAATAACGTTGAAATAACGTTGAAATATCGTTGAAACCTAACGTTGAATTAACGTTGATTTAACGTTTAGAATGAAAGTTTTTTTCAACGATGATTTATCAACGTTAAATCAACGTTAGATTCAAACGTTATATCAACGTTGATTCGACGCGAAAAAACGTTACAACAACGTTGAATTTACGTTGATACAACGTTTAAAATGATAGTTTTTTTAACGTTGATTTATCAACGTTAAACGACTGTAAAACACATTTTCACCATCAAAACGTGCTATGTATGTCAAAATGTATATATGTATGTAAACGTGCTATGTGCGTCAAAATATGATCACCATCAAAACGTACTATGCATGTACATTAGTGTTGCTGTACATTATCAAGGTATATAATGGATATTAAATCTATTCATAGTATATGAATATACTTAGACTATTTTGAACTTTTTCAGTTTAGTTTAGTTAAAATAGCTAGGTATGATTAAAGAAAGAGATAAAACTTGTTTTATTTAAAAATACATATTCAAATATTACATATATTTACATGTAATTGAATAAAATCTACACAAATTTCTTCTCTTTTCCACCACCTTTTTGAAATAAAGCGTAATTTAGAAAGTCAAACAATGTTCCATTAACCGAGGGTTCTTTTGGTCCATTGAATACAATAGAAGAAGCTGTAATTAAAAAAATCAAAAAGGGAAGATTTAAAAAATAAATAACGAATGGAAAAGTCTTACAACTTATGAAGGTATTTCTTTTTCAACGCCATATAGATTAGTGTTCTTAAAACATAATTTTCCACCTTTGCCCTTCATATCCATGGAGGCCATAAAACTTTTCGAAAATACTCTGAATTTTTAAAAAATAATATAACTGTTAGTTGGTTATTAATAACTTTTTCAAATATTTAATTTAAATAAAACAACCTTTTTAATATATTAAAAATAAATTAATAATCAAAATATAAAACATTTCTAGCATTAAAAAATAATTTTCGGGGTGGCCACATAAAATTTTAATAAGAAATTTTATGTGGCTATTTATTAACGGTTTAACGTCCATGTTTATACACTTATGGGGCTTGGACAGGGATCAAAAAATGTCATTTGTTATGTTAAATAGCATGCATTTTTTAAAGCAATTTTTTACAATTCCATGCACTTTAAGTCGTTAACCAGTTTTGCAGACCGAGAATGGGTATTTTGAACATTATACTTCCATCAAAAATTAAAAAAGGAAGAATTAATGAGGAGCGTTGATCAAATTTTTACCTCTTTAGAGGATAATAGAGGATTTTAGAAGTGGTTTTTAAAAAAAAAAGGACTTTAGAGGATTTTAGAGGAGCTGCAGACACCCTGATTATAAATGAGGTAATTCCAAAAATTAACTGTAATTGATTTATCTGTAAAAAAACATGAAGTAAATCTAATATTATGCTTGTGGAGATATATTATATTGTGGAGAACCATCCAAACCACACAAGTGGAAAATTTGCATCCAAGGTTCCACTTGTGTGCAAATCTTGCATCCACTTGTCAACATCCTCATTATCACATTTTTCTTTTGTAGTTGTGAATTTATAATTTTTAAATACTGTTTGCTTTCTTTTAGAATTGAAATAGTTATACATATAGTTATATATCTTGTATCAACAAAATAACTCTTCTTACCACATTATTTAAAAAATAATAATTGTAATATATAGATGTAATACCTAAAGAGAATTTAGTTTTTATTTGTATAAACTTAAGCCAATTCTTCTCTGCATTTTAGTGCAGTCAATGCTTTGGTACCTGGAAGCCGACAGTTTTATCACTAATCCAATTAGATAGAATTACTTCTTTGTAAATCTTTATTCCAAACAGCTCCATTCCGCATATTCAATTTTGAAAAAATTACATGAACTAATATAAAATAAAGAAACCATAATATAAGTGTACTAACAGGCCTAATTAAACTAGCTAAACTTGAATATTTTATAACCATGATACTTGCTAAACAATAATATTAGTAGACATTATTAGCAAAGATAAGATTTTCTTTATTTTATAAATTTATTATATTTTAAACTCATTTTTATTAATTTATTTATTACTCTATTATTCAGCAGAGTTCTGAATATATTATGTTCAAATAACTTAAGGCTCAATAACAAAGACAAATAATGAAAGAATACTAGGTTGCTAAAACATAAACATCTACATAACATAATTATGGAATATTGAAAAAAAATAGAAATACAAAAAAACAAAAATACTCATTATTAATATAAAATATAATAATATAATATAAGGTATATTATAATATATGACACAATAATATCTACTTTTAATTGAAATATAAAAACAACAAAAATTAAAAAAGAAAATATTTTGATAAATAATAAATTATCATTCAAACAATTTTCAAGACCAAAAAATAACTTGTAATTTATTTTTTTACTTATCTTCATCTAATAAACATTACTTATTTTTTACTCATCTTCATCTAATAAACATTAATATTAATACCAATTTTAAACATTATTAGAATTTTTTTTTTATCAAAAAATAAAAATATTACATCAGTTACTTTTTGGGCTTTTCTTATTTCACTTAAAACATCAACTCAATTCTAGGCTTTTTTCATAATTGAGTTTTAATTTGTAATGTTGAATTAACACTGAAAAAAAAATTAGCAGACAAAAAGAAAATATTTCTTTATTGAAATATATGTAAATATTTCAATAAAGAAATTTTAGATTGATTTTTATAAGTATAAATTTATATCAATCAATCTAAATTTTTTTCTTTTCCGCCACCTTTTCGAAATGAAGCGCATTTTTAGAAGTTAGACAAAATGCCATCAATTAAAGTTTCAGTCACTCCATCGTATTTAATAGAAGAAGCTGTTAATAAAAAGGAATTAGAAAAAAAAAAAAAAAACACAAGGAGAAATTTTTGAATAAAATAAAAATGAGAATAAAAAGTTTTACATATCTTATAAAGGCATACCTTTCACTACACCATATAAATTAGTTGTCTTAAAGCATATTTCCACCTTTCCCCTACATATTCATGGAGATCACAAAATTGTTGGAAAATATTCTAAATTTTAATAGATAAGAAAACTGATATTAATTATGCGAGAACTAATATTAATTTTTTTTTTTAATTTTAATTGAACTCATTATCAAACAATTTTTTTGCTAAATAATTTAATCCTTAAAATTCCTGAATAATTAAAAATTATTTTGATTACCTCAGCATTTTAAAGATATTCCATCAATTGCAATTGATTCACCTAAAAAAAACAACAAGTAAAGCTAATATTATTGTTTGAAATTTTAATTATCTTTATACAAATACTCATCATATTTTTAAAGTGACTGATAAAAATGTATTTAATTAAAATCACTTTATTTGTATTAAAAAAAATAATATTAAAGCCTTAATCATACATTATACAAGAGTATTTTGTAATACAATCTAAAAAGTAGTTGCGATATGTAATTTTTTTATCCGAAATTTAGCTTTTGTAAACTTTAGAAATTTTTTAAAGAAATTATTGATGAATTTGGAGCTACGGGTACTAATGTTTTTATATTGTTGTAATGTTTGTATTCATTCCCTGTTAGTTTCTGTAAGTCAAAATTTTAAGGTGTTTCCATAATAAATTCTGTTATATCTGAAATTTAGTGTTAGTCTGAATAATTTAATTTCTAAAATCTGTTTTGCATTGCCTGTCTTATAACATCTTTACTATGAACAAAAACCATGTGGTTTAAAAGTGAGCTAGAAGCTTTCAACAATGAAGAAAATATTGCATTCGTTAATCCTAAAAATGTATTAAACCTGTCAGCAAAATCAGCTGTCAATAATCCAAGTATTAGCATCATTAAAAATTCATCTTTGCTGCATTACATTTATTTTGGTCCAATTAGTTAAGGATTTTTTTTAACTTCAAAAAACAGAAGTAAATGTTTTTTTAATATCACTTTATCTCTTTTGATTAATGGTGATACTGCACTTACTGATGAAACACATTGACAGATGTAAGGCCAGTATAAAAGTTGCAAGATCTATTATTTTTAAAATAAATGTTTGCATACAAGTAAATTGCAATAACACAATTTGTTTGGATTATGTTTATATACAAATTTGTCTGTTTTCATAGTAATAACTGATGTGGTTGAAGTTAATTTTTCATATAAATCTTTATTTTTTTATTTCGTGCTGAAGTTCTTTTTTTAAAGTTATCAATTTCCTTTTTTAATTCTTGATGCCCTATTAAAAAACAACGCTTGACATTAAATTCAACATAATTTAATGGATTATTTTTTGAACAAGTTGTATTATATTTACATTTAATAATATCAGTCTTTGAACATTGTAGCCCAAGTTAAACGAAAAATATTGATTTTTAAATGATAATGTTCTATCAGGAAAATCGTCTGAACATGTTTTCGATCTCTTGAAAATTCTATATGGTATAAGTTCAGTATTTACATTTTTTTTCCATTATAAATCTCTATAACTTTAACCGTTGAAATAATGTTTACGTTTTTACTTCCATTTCTGCGCGCGCATAAATTTTATATCGTATTTTTTGTCAACAATGATTGTTGAAATAACGTTAAATAATCAACGTTTAAACTGTAACGTTGATTTAACGTTGAAATAACGTTAAATAATTAACGTTTAAACGGTAATGTTGTTTTAACGTTGTGACGTACACTGTTAAAAAAATACCGCGTTTTTTATGGAAATTTCCGGCAGCAGATTTTCCAGAAAGTTTCCATTGTTTTACGGAAAAATAAAGTGTTGAAGGAAATTTCCGTATAAATTACGGAAAATATCTATCATCGTAATAACAGATATTTCCGTATTTAAACGGATATTTCTGTTAACATGTGACTGCTTTTTCTGTAAAATAACGGAAAATTTCTGGAAAATCTGCTGCCGGAAATTTCCGTTGAAAGCGCAAAATTTACTTTACAAAAAAACTCTTCTAAAAATGTATTCCTTAAACAATAAAAAAAAATTAATAACATAAATATATTCTGCAATTATTAATGTCATAAGTTGCTCTAAACATTGCATAAAAAAAAGTTAAATAAAAATTTATATGTATATATATAGATATTATATATATGCTTTTAGAACAAATAACTGTTATCTTTCTTTCTTTTTGCGTTTTTTCTCGCATTCTCTTGATTATAGTCAAACATATCTCAAACACAAAATAAATTACATAATCATGACAGATTATAAATTAAAATCTGTGAAATTAAGAAAGATAAGCATATATTGTGAGCCTTCTTTTACTTTTTGCATAAGCTTATTCTTTCTTTTTAAATTTTTTTAAGCTTACATATTATTGTATAAGCTTTCGCATAAGCATTTTACAAACATTTTATATGCTTATAATATAAACTTTAGCTGCTTTGAAAAATTTGTTTTTACCTTGAATCAACACCAGTAGTCTATTAACATTATGATCGTATCTTGTGTTCTTGATATGATGGACCATAAATAAATTCATCAAATAGTAGACCACAAGCAAAATTATCAGTTTAAAAATAACAATAAAAACATTATTAATATAATATAATAAAAATTAGTTTAAAAAAATTAAACGAACTCTTTAACTTTTTATTAAAATATAAATTTTATTATTACATTTATATATATATATATATATATATATATATATATATATATATATATATATATATATATATATATATATATATATATATATATATATATATCTTATACTGCTGAGTTAGGTGAGCGTGATGATGTCATACTCACCGAACGTCAAATAGCCTGCTGCCGGGGGCTTCAGTACATACATCGACAAATAGCCTGACTCGCAGTGGAGTGCTGCTACATCGACTGAGGGTTTGGTATGGGTCAGCAACCTTTTCATTCATTATTCTTCGTTTTCCCTCATCGTTTTCTAAAAATGCTCACTTAATTTAGGCTAGCAAAAAAAGTGAGCAATTGCGCATATAAATATACAATAGTAGATAAATATATATATATATATATATATATATATATATATATATATATATATATATATATATATATATATATATATATATATATATATATATATATATATATATATATATATATATAAATACATTTACTATTTTTCTCTCTACATAGTATCCAGATTCAATACAATGCTTTTTCAGTGCTTCCAGATTCCATATTTATACTTTATGCTTTGTGGATTTTAACTTTTTAAACTTTCCATATTATAGCCAACCATATACCTAACAACACAAATATAAATGCTTTAATACAAATGAGTGAAAATACAAATGAAAATATAAATACAGCAAAATCACGAATACAAATGAAAATATGAATACAGCAAAATTGTAAATCTTTGTCCAAAGTTTAAGACATTCAATTCTTAAAACAAAAAATATATTGCTTGTTTTAAGAAATAAACTTCCTCTCCTGCAATTTATTTCTTAAAACAAGAAATATATTTCTTAAACTATAAACTCTAGATTAACAATATTGCTGTAAATCTTAAAGCTAGAAAAAAATTTGCTACACAGTAACTTATTTCTTAAAACAAGTAATATATTTCTTGTTTTAAGAAGCAAATTGGGGGATAAGAAATTTATTTCTTAAACAAGATAAATATTTCTTGTTTAAAGAAGTAAATGTCTTAAAAAATGGACTAAGATTTAAGATTTTGCTGTGAAGAAATGCTACTTGTAATACTTTTCATCAGTTAAAGATTTATTGTTCAAGATTTATTACTTAAATCTTATGGATTACTTGGCATTAATTAGAAACTGTTTTAAAATATCTTTTTTCTTCTTAAATTTTTTTTTCACATTACTTTGTTAGAACATCAATGACAAAAATTTTTTTTCTAAAAAGAAAATGTATACTTTTATCTCTTTTTCTTTACATATGAATGTATCTACATATAGAGTATGTAGTGACTCCTACATCAGCACAACTTGCTCATTTCCAATTAACTCTAATTGATTCCATAGGCGATCATATATCCTGCAATTGAAGTGCACGCAGATGGTTTCAGAAAATAGAGAGTGTGATCCTTCATATATTGCTATCAGATCTAGAAAACATTGTTTTATTTTATGTTGCAGATTTTAAAATATTTTAAGTTATTGTTAAAAACATTTCATATTTTTAAATTTTGCTTAATTATATCTTTAACTATAAATACTAATATATAAATAATTGTGCAATTTAATTAAATTTTTTGGATAAAATATCTAAAACACAAATATATTAAATAAGAAAGAAAATTAAGATGCAATTTTGAGATAACAAGTAAAACATTCCCAAATTTTATTTATATAAAAATACATAGTTTATACACACACACATATAATATATGTGTGCATAAACTATGTTTTTTATATAAATACATATGTATATATACATATACTATATGTATGTATGTATGTATGTATGTATGTATGTATGTATGTATGTATGTATGTATGTACGTATGGATGCATGTACGTATGTATGGATGCATGTATGTATGTATGTATGTATGTATGTATGTATGTATGTATGTATGTATGTATGTATGTATGTATGTATATATATATATATATATATATATATATATATATATATAAAAGGTTAGTAAACTATTTTCCATTCTCGTTATTTAAAAAAAGAAGTTGAAAAAGAAAGACGAATAAAAATAAATTTATCCTTCCTTAACTGAAACCCTTATATGTGTTATCAATTCCCTTACGAGTTCTCCCTAAATCAGTCTATGTATCGTCTCACCCCTAAATCAGTGTGACATCATAGCACTAAAGTATGCACTACTATGTATATATATATATATATATATATATATATATATATATATATATATATATATATATATATATATATATATATATATATATATATATATATATACTTCTTCATTATTTCTGATTGTTTTTAGAAAAAGTTATTGTTGATACTATAGAATCAAGTGATGCTCTATAGTATAGATTAAAAATAAAAATGGTAATTTCAAACAAATAAATAAAATGTGAAGGCCTTAAGTTATTGCTTTAAAGGTATTGTTTGTTTTGTCTATTGTTGTTAAATCATTCTGGATTTATACTTAATATTTTTCTCAAAATTCAAGTGCTTTGGTGTATCAGAATAACTTCCAGAAAAGAAAATGATGCATTTTTAGTTAGAAAAGTATTTAGTCATTTAGTATATAATATAATAAATTTAAATTGTAGGTGTAAGGCTTAAATGTTCTTCGTATTTTAGTATGCATATCTATTGTAGAGTAAATGCTATGAAGTATTTATTTATTTACTAAAATGAGTTTGAGATTTATTACTTTAAATGATGGTTTTATAGTACATTTATTTTTGTAGAACTTATCAAATGTAAACATCATCCTAAGATCTTAGCATTTTCTGCATATATATATATATATATATATATATATATATATATATATATATATATATATATATATATATATATATATATATATATATATATATATATATATATATATATATATATATATATATATATATATATATATATATGTATATTTATATATACACATCAGGGGCTATTCTAGATTGTTTTTGAACATAATTAGATGCTGTTGTTTTTTTACAAAAAACTGTTTTTTCTCAAAATATTATGTTTATTCAGAAAATATTGTGTTTTTTGGCAAATATGGCTTATTTTTAGGAAAATAATTTTACTGATCAAGCCAGTGTGCGAGGTACCGTTGCTTACATTTTTTTCTTGAATAGTTCCTGTATTTATATATATATATATATATATATATATATATATATATATATATATATATATATATATATATATATATATATATATATATATATATATATATATATATACCACTGCGAGTCAGGCTATTTGTCAGTCGATGTATGTACTGAAGCCCCCGGCAGCAGGCTATTTGACATTAGGTGAGTATGACATCATCATGCTCACCTAACTCAGCAGTATAAGATATAATACAATATTTGTTTAAAAACAATAAATGCTACGTTTTTTTATAAACAATAAAAAATAATAGTACCAGTTCAAAACAAAAATAAAAAATTTACAATTGTTTTAAAACAAATTGAATCAAAAAGTTGATATTAAATAATACTATTTAGTGCAGCTTCGGTATGATCCAACTTTTTTCTTCCATTTCAATTTCTCTTGTATACATGAGTAAAAAGAAATATATCTTGTCTTTTCTCTTCAGAATGGGCTTTGTTAACAAGTTGTTGAACTAACTTGACTGTTTTCTCTGAACAATTATTCACAACATCAAGATTCATAACGGCTGTTTCAAAACCTTGATAAAAATCATTTAAAATCCAATACTCTGGAGGAAGCTTCATCCATTAAATCTCAGCTTTTCCATGACTAAACATGTCAAACACAAGCCATGACTTCTCTGTAATTAGTTGAACTAAACTGGGAGGCTCATCCTGTGAAAAGTTTAGACTCATTAGAGTGTCTTTATCCAACACCTGTCTTTTTAAGAAATATTCTTTTATGGGACCTCGTTTCAAACTAATAAGTCTCTTAATTATGTCACCATTTTCTTATCTGCAATTGCTAAAATAACTAAATATGGATCAAGGTACCAAGTATGTCGTTGTATGGATTTAGAAACAGTTTCAATGCCAGCTTTACTCCATTCCTCGAATCTTTTCATCTGCCATAATGCTTTCATGTCCTAATAGTTAAAGCTTAAATTTATCAATGTTTAACTTATAAAAATAATATACCTATTTCATGCATTTATTCAAAATTATATATTTTTTTTCAAACTTCTATTCAGATAGTGTACTTGTCGGAGCAGCTGAACTTAACTCGGCTCTGAGAAACCACTCAGTGTAAAAAATAGAGTCATTTCTGTGATTTCATCCCTGCTCTCTTCATTGATTTCAGGAATTCTTTCCATGAGTAGAAATAGTTTTAAGTAAAATAAACTATTACCCATAAATCCAGCATGATGAACAGCTCCAAGATTGTGAAGTTTGAATCTGTCAGTGGGTGATAGTACCATCGAAGTAAGTTCAGCCAGTTCTTGATAATCTTTAAGATACTTTCCATCCTAAACAATATTTATTAACAATTAATGATAACCTAAATAACTTAAAATAAAATTAAAGTTCAGATAAAACTGAAAAACTATAAGTGATGTACTATTTTAATCTATTATTTTTTTGAAATTGTAAGAAATAATTCGATTTAATTGAATTATTTATAAAGGTTTTAATAAAACTATTTATTACTCTCACCTTTTTAAAAACTTTAGTGCTAATTATATCAGGGGCTATTCTATACCATTTTCGACAGCGCCGACCATATTTGGGTGCCGCCCAAATTAATATTTGCGGACTTTTTTTTTACAGCAAATATTGTTATTTTTGCGAAAAAACCGCTGACTTTCCGCTAAAGTTTGCCGGAACGAGGGGGTACCGCCACCCAAATTTTTTTCCTAGAATAGGCCCTGTATATATCTGCAAAATTGATTTGCATTCAGCTTTTGTACATTAATCCAGGAACCAATCAGAGTTGATAATCTTTTCAAGTCTTGCTTTTCAGTATCTAGATCATTCGTAATTAGATTTAATTGAATTATTTATAAAGATTTTAATAAAACTATTTATTACTCTCAATCCAGGAACCAATCGGAGATAACCTTTTCAAATCTTGCTTTGCAGTATCTAAATCATTCAAGTTTATTAAAATGGTTTTTAAGAAGTTTGAATAATTTATTTTCTAGCCCTGAAGTATGACTGCTTGGATAAAGCTCCCAGAAATGGGTAACATGACACTCACAAATATGATGTCGACACGCAGTTAACAACAAAGAGCGCTGTAGGTGCATAACTATTCTGCTATGAGCTCCTTTTATTTTACCTGTGATATTAAAGCAAAGACACTGAACTTTATCATCTAATCCAAAGTTAAAAATGAGTTCTTCTATAGCTTCTTTTTAGTGTTCTCCAGAATCGGAGTCAATAGCTGGAACTCCAAGTAACTTGGTTTATCTTTTAATCCTAGCAAGAGCAGCTAACCTATCTTTTGAAAACTATTTTCCTTCAGTAAATTCTTTGACAATTTTTCCATCAAAATGAATTGTTATTATTTATTTGCACCCATAAACACAGCGTCCTCTGCTGCTCTGTATGAAGATGAGTTTGAGCATACAAAATTAGACGCGCATCCTCCAGAATTGACTATAATACTGCTAAGAATCGCTCTGCGTTGATGTGGAGTTAAACCCTCTCCAACTGCTGTGTGAGCAGTACGGTGCAAGATATCCTTGGGTAGGATGACAGAACTAGGAACTAGGATCAATGTGTCTCAATTTCAAAATTACTATCAGTTGAAATACTTTTATTGGTATTAAGAGAACTTGATGAAGTTTCAGAATCTGCACCAGATACATTGTTTAACTTACTACAATTACATTTAGATTTATGCTTTCTTTTTATTGAATACTGAAATCTTTTATCCAAACCCCCTAACCTTGCTTTCCTTTCCTTTAACTGGTCTTTAAGGAAAGCTATGTATTCCTTTTTGTCATTTTAATCTTTACTTATATTTTCAATCATATTTATTGGGTTTTCTCCAATCCAGAAAACCTTTTTCATATTTTCAATAAAGTTTTTTCTCTTTTTCACTTCAGCAGGGTTATTTCTTTTACTTAAGCTTTTCAGCTTCATCCAGTTCTTCACCATTTTTTTCTACCTTTATCCTATAAAAAGAATTATTCTTAAGTGCTTAAAAAAATTTGAAAATATATTTTGATCTTTTTATAAAGCATAAAGTTTTAGCTATTATTACCTTCTGGCTTCTGGGTTGTAATGACTTCAAAGCCACCACGTATCCACGCAACAAGCTTAGATATTATGCAGCAATGTAACTGACTGGTAAGACAGTTTGGTGAGAATGATCCACATTTGTTTTGGCATCCAACAATAAACTCAGTTTAACTTCAGGTTTAGATTTCCTCAGAAAGTTGTAGTGCTGAAAAATTTCTTGTGTAGTAGCAAACTTGTTGTTGGGAATAGTACAATTTATTTTTCCCACAAGAAAAGTTTCATCAATTATTTTAATTTTCTTTTTGGGCGGCATCTTTTAAATTATTATAAGATATTTTGATACTAAAAACGCGCTTTTTGTTGAAAATAAACAAATACCTAAATATGAATTATATAAAAGAGCCCTTTAAACTTGAGTATTAGAACTTATTACCATGTTAATAGATAATTTCTTTTTTAAATTGATTGAGATTTAAGGGTCCCACAAGCGGGGCAAAGTTTTCCTAAAAAAGGGGCAAAAATTGACCCTTTTGCCCTCTGTGGGGACCTTTCGGATGCTCAAAAAAATTTTGTAAAAAATTTTAAGTACTAATTTGCGGTCAGGGCAGATTATAAGCTAGGGCTCTTATCAAAATTTTGACATGAACTATTTTTGAATAGCTCTAATATATATATATATATATATATATATATATATATATATATATATATATATATATATATATATTTATATATACGAATATAATATACATATATATATATATACGAATAGTATTGCGTACTAAGGTAAGCAATCTGACATTATACTGAAATAGTCTGCTGCTGGGGGCTTCAGTACATACATCGACTGACAAATAGCCTGACTCGCAGTGGAGTGCTGCTACATCGACTGAGGGTTTGGGATGGGGCAGCAATTGTTTAATTCACATTCTTTATACAATATTTATTAACTGTTAGACGTATTTAAAGTATTTTTTTTTATACTTATAAGTAAAAGTGTGTAAAAATTTTAAACTATTTTTATTATTGATTATTATATATCATTAAAAAGAGGCTAAAATCAGCATTACAATAATGAAAATTTAATAACAGAACAACAATTCTACAAAAAGTTATGCTCATTTAAGTAACAAAATTTGATTACAAGGATTGCTTAAAAAAACTATGACCAGTTTTAAATTATCAGTTTCGGCTAACGGTAGTTTTGTTATGGAACTTTGTTGATAGAAGCGCAATATTTTGCTTTATTTACAATATTTTAACTTAGGTACATATTCTGCTACAAAAAATTAGGTGTCTGCTACCTTTTTTCGATAACCTTTTTCGATAAAATTTGGCATGTACGTAAAAAAATAAGTTTTTAAATTTTTCTCAATAGTTTCAAAAATGTTCTCAACATTCTTTCAATATTAATTTGACGTGTAATCAACAACGAAGTTTTTAAGAAAAGTAAATTCAATAAAAGCGGTTGTAACTTCAAAAAAAAAACTATCCAAAAAAGAAGTTTAACTCTTCCACTTTTCAAAAAAAGTCTATGCTGATATAAAATCCTAAAAAATAACACAACAAAATACATTCTTACAACTCAAACGCTAAGCATGCTTTTATAAAATAGTCGAAGATTTTGATTACGTAATCGGTGCTGTAACTCATTGGATACGCACGTACTTACTATAAGATTTTTATTCTAGCATTTTATTTTACTAGAAATAAAATTCCTTGTAAACATTAAAAATCTATTCAAAACGTTCGTTAAAGTTTTTTAGTAATACGAGTGATTGCGCTTATCAACCGCTTTATAAAAATGAATAAAAATAAATAAATAAAAAATATTATACAAAATCTCTGGTAAAAAATATTAGCTATTGCACAGTTTTTAATCCTACAATATTAAAATTTCCATTTTATTACTCGCTGACTTTTTAAAAAGAAAAAGTAATTATTTGAAAAACTTTAAATTACATATTTGATATAAAAAAAAACCAAATATTAGCATATTATAGACAAAACGTGTCAAACGTCGAGAAAATAAACAAATGTTTTTACATTTTAAAAAACGAAACATTCCAAAACATTTTAAAATAATAACATTTCTACATTAATGATTTAAAGTAGTTTTGCGGTAATTAAGTAAATTGGTGCAGTTAATGTCGATAAATATGAAAAGCAAATAAAAAGAATTTAATGACGTCAAAAATCACTTCGTGCTTATGCGTCGCGCAGTTTTTATTCATCACAAGGCCTGATATATATATATATTGATATTTAAGGCTGTTTTGTATTATAATAATGAACAAAACTCATAATCATAAAAGAGTGGTCAATATTAAAAAGACAAATAGAGTGCTAAAAGAATGTACAAATAGAATGGCTAAAAAAGATATATATATATATATATAAATATATATATATATATAAATATATATATATAAATATATATATATATATATATAAATATATATATATATATATATATATATATATATATATATATATATATATATATATATATATATATATATATATATATATATATATATATATATATATATATATATATATATATATATATAAGTTTGCTAGCAAGAAAGTTACAAAAAGCAAAACAAAAACAATAAACTTACAATTACAAAAGTAATAACACTTTAGTCACTAAGTGCATTTTCAAGTAATAAAACTATAATAGTGTTATTACATTTATAAAGCACTTATTACTTTTAAAGTTCATTCTTTGTTCAAACAACATTATTACTTCCAAACATTTACTAAAGTAGAAAAGCATCTTGAAAAAATAAAGCGGATATTACAATATTAATAAAAATTAACAACGTTATAAAAGAGTATTTTATAAAAAGTGTAGCATCATGAAAAATGTTACATAAAAATGCGCGTTAATTTTAAAATCAAACAATAAAAAAATTTTATTGGTTAATTTCATAATGCTAAAACTTTTAATGTTACGTTTTTATAATGTTATTTGTCATGTTTTTATAAGTTATTTAAGTTTTAAATATTATCAAACTTCCACTTTATTCTTCTAGATATTTTTCTACTTCAATTAAAATTTGGGATTACTTATGTTGCTTGAACAAAGAATGAATTTTAAAAGTTATAAGTGCATTTTAAAAGTATTAACACTACTATAGTGTTATTATTTTTGTAATGCAGTTAGTGACAAGAGTGTTATTACTTTTGTAATCGTAAATTTATTGTTTTATTTTTTATTTTTTTGCTTACAAATTTAAGTTGATTCGCCCCTTAAAAACAAGGAACACGGTTTTGTATAAACTAAAATTTCGAATACTCGATACTTTTCTAGATTTTGCGTTTCGCATTCACTTAATTCAACTCTCGTTATTACATTATTATTGTTGTTACATTAAAATTATACAAATATATTTTATAAACACATTGTAATTTATATTTTTGCTATACTCTTAAAAAAAAAAGTTAAGAAAAGGAAAATCATTCTTTTTATTTTCAGGCTTCAAACTGTTTTTTTTTCTGCTTCGCCTTATCTAATTTTGTTGCTGAATGTAACAACCACTTTAAAGAAACAAAAATAAAAACAGTGCAAAATTAATTTAAACTATTAATGTGTTTTTATTTCTTTCTATTTTAATCTCTTTTTATTTTGTTAGTTTTGTTTTTTTTGTTTTAGAAACTTTTTCAGCATTGATTATTATAAAACTTGCTAATGGCCATGTTCAAGTCGTCTAAAGTAATTTTAATGAGGGGACACTTGTTTATGGTTGATTTAAAGGGAGTTACATGTACTACAAAACTACACAACTAGATAGGGTTTTCCTCTTTATAAAAAACGTTTGCGCTATCTAAAGCATTTTAGTAACTGGCTTTTGATAAAATAAAAACTGTAATTAAACAAAGATTACCGCTTTTCTGCTTTGTTTTTTTTTATTTCCATTAAAATATTTTACTTTTATGTACCATGAAACCTGATGTATTTTTACTAATTCTTGCTAGATCCAAAAAGTAAAATAGTATTTTCGGTTTTAAGATGTTATTAGCTGGACTTTTAACAAATATCAGTATATTTTGAAATTTATGTATCTTATATTTATAGCACTAGTATTAGTTTTGTTTTTAAAATAAAATAAATATAAGTTGGGCTTTTAAAGAGTTTATTCATTGATCACATAATTTTTAATCGGTTTAAAATTTAGTTTGTTTTATAAAAAAAATAATGAAAGTGTTCTATGAAAAACTGGCTCGGCCAGGAAGCAGGAGCAATCGCTCTCGAATACTGACCACGGAAATAATATTTAGTTGCGAAAAACTGGCCAGGTTTTTTAGTCGTTTTGAGAACATTTAAGTTTATGTACGTTACAAAAAATTTTGTTTTACAGACATACATGGAAACATAATAAACTTAAATGTTCTCAAAACATTTTGATGTGGAAGAATAAAAAGAATATTCGCAAACACTAAAAATCTGCCAAATTAACAAATCAACTAATTCTATTAATTCAAAAAATGCGCTGACTAAGCGAAATAAAGTTCTAGAGTATTCCGTTGAAATATTTTAGAAATTGTATTATTCACAATTTGTTACGTTTTAAGATTTCTAGCATCAACTGTTTTAAGAATATATTTTCAATACTATGGCTCATTCTCGGAGCAAGAATCATGAATCTCGGAGCAACATCTGCGAAACTGTAAATCTTTTCAACTATTATTATTTGTTTACAAAAATAAATGTTTTATAATATATATTTTTTAAATTGTCAAAATTTCGAAAGCTTACTATAAATTATAGATTTTATTAGTATATTCTTATTTTTTATTTAAAAAGTATGTATTTTTTATGTGAATGTAATTTTGTGAACCTGTTTTTTATTGTAATGTAATCTTTTAAAGCAACTTTTATGATTTAATTTGTAAACAAAGACTAACAAAAATAATTGCATTTTTAATGAAGTTATTAATAATCATTAAAGTTAATAAAACTAATTACGTAACAAACATATAAGAAGTTTCTGGTTACTAAACACAAACAATGCATACAAAGTAACTCAAAGATAAACAAGCAGCCCGCATAAGGTCTTGACAGAACACAAATATATATAGCAAGTTATTAGATATAAAGAAAAGTTTCTAGATATTGGTTTACTAACTCTAATTATATTTGCTTCAGTTGCCATTCTATATAACTCGCTATACTTTTTTGTGCTTTAAATACTAATTAAAATTAAAAAGCCCACTAACTAAACATCATCAGGAATATTGTGAAGCAGTTTGGCTTCCTCGTCATAAAGTATTTTTAACCTTTTTAGTTCATTTTATCTAGTATATAAATAAAAATTATTTTACACTTTTTGTTAAATAAAGAACATTTGTTTCCTTTTTAAACAATCATAAGATGTAACTTTATTTAAAAAACGTCGCTGAATTTTATTAAAAAAATTATAAAAGAGCGATGATTCGAAAATATTTGTTCTAAAGGTAATTTATTTTACTTTAAGTTTTTTTGCATTAAAAGATATTTTATTTTCCTAATTTTTTTTTTGTAATTGTCTCTCATCGGTCCAATTAATCTTTTGCGCATTTTTTTTTTTTTGCTTTTAGAAATATTCTCAAAATGACTAAAAAATCTGGCCAGCTTTTCGCAACTTAAAATTATTTCCGTGGTCAGCAATCGAGAGCGATCGCTCCAGCTTCCTGACCAAGCCTGACATAAAATTAAATGGCAAAGGGAAAACCCAAATATAACCTTTTTAATCAAGTTAAAAAGAATTTTTTTGTATTGACGTCAAAATTATTAACTACAAAAGCGCATTAATCAGACCAGTATTTGGAACTGGAACTTAGCTTCGAGAAAAAAAAATGGCATTTAAAATTATAAAGTTTTTCCCTAATATGTCAACAAATAACTTGTTCTGGAAAGTTTGATTAGCATGAAACTTATTTTTCAAGGATTTGTTATGACATGAACATAATTTATCTTAGCACTTAGGGATCACATAACAGTCAAAGAATAAATAAAAACTTGTCAACCTTTTTTTTAACATTTTGGTTTTAACAAAATCTTTAAATACTACTTATAAACTAGTTAATCATTTTTAATCGACATTCAGTCTATAATCAATTCAAAAAATTAGTAATAAAGAAAAAACTTTTGTTAAAAAAAACTGAAATTAAAATAAAGTTATATGTAATATGAACATTTTAAAGTAACTTGAATTAAATTTATTAAATTTTTTTTTTACTTTAACAGTTTGGAAATTTTATCAGTAAAAAAAATTGTAAAACATAGCGTTTAAAAATTTTTTAAAGCGTTTTAATTAAATTTAATAAAATAAATTACTAAAACTATGATTAATAATAAATTTAATTTAAACATAATAAAAATAAATATAAATTAAAAACTTTTTAAAAACGGAAGTAGAAAAAAAAATTCAAACTATCTTTTTTTTTATCTAATATAAAAAATATTCCACAAATGTTTTTTACAACAATTAATTACAGCTTAATGTTTTCCGCATAATCTGTTATAAAATAAAGTAATTGAAAAAAAGTTTTTGCCTAACCTATATTGCAAAACGTGCACATGAAATCGTGAATACATACATAAAATTCAAATAGGGAAACACTTCTTAACAAGTCTTAATATATATATATATATATATATATATATATATATATATATATATATATATATATATATATATATATATATATATATATATATATATATATATATATATATATATATATATATATACAAATAGTATTGCGTACTAAGGTAAGCAATCTGACGTCATACTGAGATAGCCTGAATCTGACGTCATAAGAAATATTCAATCTGACACCATAAGAAATATTCTTCTTTTTCTAAAAAAGCCATATGGGTTAATGTTAGCAAAAAAAGTAAGCAAATGCTTATAAAAATACACTTTGGTAAGTGTATACATATATATATATATATATATATATATATATATATATATATATATATATATATATATATATATATATATATATATATATATATATATATATATATATATATATATATATATATATATATATATATATATATATATATATATATATATATATATATATATATATATATATATATATATATATATATATATATATATATATATATATATAAAATATGACTGATACACCAATCTTTATTGTTTAAAACTGATTTTATTTTAACTACAAAAAAAACTTTTACTCACTTTTCCACCCCAGTACAAAGAGTTTGTATTTGATGGATTTCGAAATTTTAAGTTTGGTTTTGAACCATAAAAAACAGCTTTGAATGCATTTAATGTATCTGCAGCTATACTATGAATTCTTGTTCCCATCTGACCAGGAAAAATAAAAGTGTTTTCTTTGGCTTCAGCTTTCCTATGGAAAGAGCTGACAAACTTTGAATGAAAATGCACTTTCTCATCATATAGAGTAAGTTTGCAAACCATTCCATCTCCATCAATAGCTTCAAATAAACACAAAAAGTTTTTATTTAATAACCAAAGATATTTTATTTCAAACTAAAACATTAATACTTATTAAAAGAATCCCCAAGCGTCGAGACAAGTTGTATTCATATCAAAGATAAACATTAGAAAATAAGTTAAATGTTAATTAAACCTTCCTTTTGTTAATATCTCTTGAATGAGATATTAACAAAAGCATTTTCTGTTTTGTCATTATACTTCCGGTTGAGAGCCTAATTTAAGGATCTCAAATCTGCAAGTTTTTTCGGTTAAAAAAACATCTGGTTTCAATAATAGATAATTTCTCTCACCGCAGAGTTTTTTGAACAGTTCAGTTTTACATAATCAGATTGGGTTTTTCCCCTTTAAAAATAGTCTGCGGTGGTTAAATGAAAATGAGGTGTCTGATTTAATAAAAAATAGTTTACAAAATGGTAAAAGTTTTGGACCAAATAGTATCCCCACAGACCTTCTTAAACTTACTTCTCATGTTATTTGCAAGCCTCTCTGTACCGTATTGAATAATTCTTTTAATAAAGGTCTTTTCCCCGATGTTTTTAAGATAGCCAAAGTTATTCCTATCCATAAAAAGGGTTCTCTAATGGACCACAAAAACTATCAACCAATTTCTCTTCTATCTAACATTAGTAAAATATTTGAAAAAGCCATGTACAACAACAGACTTTATAGCTTTCTTGACAAAAACCAATGTCTTTACAAACATCAGTATGGATTTTGTAACAAACACTCCACAACTCATGCACTTATTAAAATAACTGAAACTATTAGAAATGCTCTTGACAATAAACTTTTTGCATGTGGAGTGTTTCTTGACTTTGAGAAAGCCTTTGATTCTGTTGATCACTCCATCCTCTTAAGTAAATTGGAACACTACGGTGTTTGAGGTAATACTCTCCAATGGTTTTCATCATATCTTTTTAATAGATCGCAATTTGTCTCCATCAATGATGCCAAATTTTTACCAATAAAATGCTCCACGGGTGAACCCCAAGATTCTGTATTAGGACCATTGCTTTTCCTTATTTTTATATGATCTTAATATCTCTCTAAAATTTTCAACGGCTTACCATTTTGCTGACAACACCAACTCACTCATAACAAATAAATCATTAAAAAAAATTAACAAACATATTAATCATGATTTATCTAACCTTCCTCAATGGCAGCGCTCTAACAAACTAAGTCTTAATACCAACAAAACTGAACTTATTATTTTAAATCTAATCAATCTAAAATGTATAAAAACCTAAACTTTAGACTAAGTGGACAAAAAATCTTTCCCTTAGTTTCATTAAGGTATATTATTATAAACTTTAGACTAAGTGGACTAAAGACTAAAAACTAAGTTTCCATTAGAATCCAAATTTGCTCAGATCTATCTTTTTCCTCTCATCTTAAAAACATAGCAGTAAAATTGTGAAGATCAAATGGGATGCTAGCGAAAATTCTACTTGAAATATACCATGCAATTTTTGGATCACATCTTAGATACGCTTGTCAGGTTTGGGGACAATGCAAGTCTAATGCTTTTTTAAGGTTATGTAACCTACAAAACAAAGCTTTAAAAAAAAATTCTTTCAACAGTATCATTCTAACTCTGACATCCTTTACTTTCTATTAAAAATACTCAAATTATGTGATCTTGTTTATCTATTAAATTGTCTATTTGTCTGGAATCATAAGCAAGTAAACCTCCCTCCGTCATTGTCTAATTTTTTTACCACTAAAAAAAGTTCTTGTTATTACCTTCGATCTTTGAGTAACTTTAAATTATCTATCCTAAATCGCTGTTCGGTAAAATACGGTGATAATTCTATTACAAACCGATGCGTAAAATCGTTACTATTGTTATTAGTATTATTATTATATGTGATGTTAATATTATTTACATTTTATTTACATTTTTATTACTGCCATTATTACTTATTAAAATTCTTTAATATATAAATGTGATATTTGTTAATATTATTATTGTTATTATTATTGTTAATTTTATTGCTATTATTGCTATTATTACTATTATTGTTGTTGTTATTTTATTGTTATTATTATTTCTATTATTGTTATTATTATTGCTTTTGTTATTATAATTACTAATATAATCATTATTATTGTCATTATTATATTTAATAGTATTATTGATATTACTATAATTGTTTAATTTACATTATTATTATTATATGATTGCTATTATTATAAAATTGGTGTTTACCTTAGATTAGTACTCGTACTATTAGTAAACAACCATGAAATGTAAACTTTTATTTCAAAATAAATTGTTATTGTATTGTTATGTAAAACATTTACTGTAGCATGTTTTTGTTTTTTGTTCAACGTATTGTGAAGTGTTTAAGTTAGAATAAACTAGCGTAATAAAAATAGCAATTAATCGAAGCAAACTTGTTACTTTTAATAAAAAATACAGCAAAGTATATGTTTTCTTTTACAACCTGCAATTTATTTGTACTATTTATCACTAAATCACAAAAATAAAATAGTATTTTTGTGAAAGAATTTACTTTTTATTATATTAATTTATACTTATAATTCATAATATCGTTTTTAAAATGATCTAATATATACTTATTATACTGATATTAAAAAATTGAATCTTATATTTTCATTTAACTGCAAAAGGGAAACCCCAAACATACTCTACATGTTTAAGTTGATTTAGGTTTTTTAAAAGAAACTTTTTTTAATGACATAAAGTATTAAATACAAAAACGCATTGATCAGACCGGATTAAAAAAATATTAAATAGTCTAAGAGCCGTATCTTACCTTTGCGAGAAACAAAATGGCGTTAAAAATTAAAAGTTTTATTTAAAATATGGAAGGTTTAATTAACATTTAACTTATTTTCTAATGTTTATCTTTGATGTGAGCACAACTTGTCTTGACGCTTGGGGATCCCTTTAAAAGGTAAAAAAAACATTTTTTAAAAAAAAGTAAATATAATAAGAAATTTTAAGTATTCAAACTGTTTTTCATTCACATTTTTTTTTTGTTAACAATTTTTAGACTACAAGTTGTTATGTTAACTAATAGGGGGAAAAATTGTTAGCAGGAAACTAGTTGCAGACATTACAATACCATTGCAAGGTAATTTCGCCTATGCAATTATCAAAATGTGAATAATTTTGAGAACTGTACATATTTTACTTTATGTACATTTTTTACTTTTTTGCAAGAATATAGCAACAATTTGTCTTTTTGCAAGAATAGAGATTTTATATAAATAATAATATACATTACAATTAATTCCAATCTTCTTAATCTGAAAACATTCATAATTCAATTAAAAGCAAAGTCAACGTGAAATGCGCTTAAAAAATTCTTACGTTTAACTTTCTATTATTCAAATCTCTATAAGTCAAAAACCTCCAAAATTCGAATGGATTTTTCAAAAAAATTCTCTCTGTATATCAACTTTTTTTATTTTCTGATGTGTAAAAAGCTTGTTAAATCATTGAACTCTTTTTTCAAATTTCGAATGTTTTGAGTTTTTGAAAAACAATTAGTGTGAATTATTTTTTTCTGTTTAAAAAAATTCATGGAATCAAAAAGACTGTATAAAGAAAACAACTTAAAGCAGAAATATGATACTCTACTGGAATTGGAGAAAGGAAAAACAAACAAAGAGGTTTCGAAAATTTATTCCACCAAACACTCTTTCAAACTGGAAAAAAAATAAAGATAAAATCTTTGATGCTTTTTGTCAAGGTAATTTGGCTAAACGGGTGAAAGTTGATATATATTACTAAGTAAACAAAGCTCTACTTAAATGGTTCAAACAAATAAGAGATGATAATGTCCCAATTAGTGGTTTTAGTAAAAGAATTATTACAAACAATTATTAGTAAAAGAAAAAGCTTTTTATTTTGCAAAAGGATTAAGCTTTAAAAATTTTCAAGCTTTGGATGGATGGCTAGACAAATTTAAGAAAAAGTAAACTAATTTCTTATTTTATTTTATCCAATTTTTATGAATAACGACTTTACAATATATGATTATTTTACAGCGTTTTTTTTTTTCACTTTAATTGTTTTAATAAATAAAATAAACTTTTTTTCCAAAATCAGATATTCTCGAAGTTAGATTTAAACATATGCATAACTTATGTCTAACCAATTATAAACTTTTTTTGTAGGTATGGTATATCTTCCAAAACCATTTCTGGAGAGGCCAAGTCAGTTAATGAGCAAATGGTTGCTCCATGGATCAAAACCACACTGCCTACAATTTTCTCTCGATACCCACTTAAAAATATATTTAATGCAGATAAATTTGGACTTTTCTACCATTGTTTGCCAAACAAAAGTTACACAACAAAAGTGCACAGGAGGCAAGCATAGTAAAATTCGCCTGACTGAGATGACCGAGGGTACTGTTAAAGGTGAGAGACTTTTAATGTTTGTTATTTGAAAAATCAAAGTCTCCTAGATGTTTCAAAAGTGAGGAAAATATTCCGTCGTTATCAAACTAAATCAAAATGTCTGCAGAATTATTCGAGGAGTGGGTTAAAGGAATTGACTTAAAGTTTAGTTTTCAGAAAAGAAAAATTGCTTTAATTATAGTTAATTGTTCTGCTCATCATAACATGCAGAAACCTGATTGGGTGGAACTTATCTTTTGTCCACCGAATACAACCTCAATCACCCAACCTATGGATCATTATCTGATCTCTTAAAGCAAAATATCGTTTACTTGCAGTGAAAAAGCAGATTGCTCCCTTAGAAAAAGAGAACAAGACGCATAAGTTTTCTATTTTAACTATTTATGCTAACAAAAGCGTGGAACTCTATTCCAGAGCAGACATTTATAAACAGTTTCAAAAAATCAGGAATATTATTAGAAGCAGTAGAAAAGCATATAAATGTTAATAACAATCCTTTCTGTGAGAGATGAAGAGGTTGTAATGGAAAACTTAAAAGACAGGCTTGGACAGGAATGGCATGCGATCAAGTGCTATTGCTGACCACACAAATGATTTTATTTCTTGACAACTTGACCACGATTGTTTATATATTTTCATGATTTAAACATTTCAGAAATGTGCTGAATATAAAAATGCTAAGCTAAACTTAAACTATGAAAAAAGTTTAAAAAAAAACTAATGAAAAAAAAATTCTTTACGAAAAAGAAATTATATAAGCACTAAAATAAAAATAAAAATTAAAAACTTAAACTCGAAGCGAAACTTTTTGTTATGTTTTTAATTACATTTGAAATAAATCTTTTTAAACGTTTGATTAAAGTTACACCAAATGCTTTTAAATTAACAAATTACTACTAATGATTGTTTAATAAATGAACAAATTTTATCAAATTTATTAAAAAGTGTTGTATATGATATTTTTAAATTATATAAACATTTATTTTTTCAAAAAAGTTGCAAAAAAAAAATTGTTTAAAAAAATAATGTAGTCTTTTTAAAATAGTAATTTTAAATAATTTTATGCTCTAATTATGTCAGTTAAAAAAAGGTTTTCAACTTTTTTATTTGTAAAAATAGGAAAAGAATAAATAAAATGCGCTTGCAATTTAAGTAAATTAAACTCTCGTCAAGCAATTTAATTTAGTTTTAATTTGAGTATTACAACTTTATTAATAAATGCTTCACAAACAAACAAAAAATATTTATTTAAAAGATTTTAAAAAACCGTAAGTTTAATTATAAAAACTAATCGTATGAGCATTACAAAATGCTTTAAAACTTTAACATAAACGTAACACTTTTTATTGCATTTAAATTGTTAAAACATCAAAATAGCCATGGTCAAGTTTTTTAAAGAAAAAAAAATTAGCGTTGTCAGTTACAGAGTGCAATCACACGCCATTCCTGTCCAAGCCTGAAAAGATGATCTTGAATTGTTAAAATCAAAATTTAAAGCAGATTTTAACCACACATCCGACGAGTTAGTAGCAAGCTGTAGAAAAGTTTAATTAAGATATGATTTTAGCAACAAAAGTAATTTGTAATGTCAAAAAAGCTGGAGTAATTTGTAATGTCTAGCAGTAAGTTAACCTGTTCAATTGGAATGGCAGAAAAAGCATAGCCATATGATTCAAGAGTCAAATTAGAAGAAAGGCTTTTTGCAAATAGTTCTGCCTTATCCTTAGGAAAGGTAATAACATTAGGCCTTTGAATTAGAGATAGAATGCTAGACTTACCTTAATGAGACTTGAAGATTTTTCAAAGACCTCTAGAACTTTACTTCTGAGATAAGACTTGATATTTAGTAAACTGGGAATAATGGACCTTAGCATCAAACAGCATCTTTTACATGGATTTTTTGCAATAATAAATATCAACTGCTAAATAGGACATATCAGGTGTCAAATACTTTCCTTCAATAAGGTCTAAAAGAGATGTAACCACTGATTTGATGATATGGTAATTCACCAGCTGAGAACGCTGCGGGTGAAATACCATATCTTTTTGAAACATCTGCAGTATGACTAATTCACAAAACTTTTTGTTTAAATCTAAATCATAATCATAACAATATTTAACAACATTTCTCTCTCTTTTTTTTCCATTTCTAATTTCTTCTCTGCTCCAGACTTCCTCTCTCCTCTGCCTGGCAGGCATTTTAATATCATAGAAATCTATTTTGTTTTGTAACTATACAGCTATGATTTTCATAATATGAGTTTATATCCATTAGTTGCAACTAGTGTCAATATGGAGGTCCTTAATTCTTCAGATTTCTGCTACTAATCACAAAAAAATCATGGCTCTTGGTCCTTATAATATGCTAAATTAAAATTGAATATAAATGAATGACTCCTTCCCCCTCCCACCTTCATCAGAATATTGGACTTCTAATGAATTCTACTAAGTTTCGGGAAGTCATTTATCATCTTGCTGTTGTCAGCAATTGCTCTGAAAGAAGTGTTAAACTCAAAAAGATAACATTGAATTGTGAGGAAGATAAGAAAAAGGATTCACTGTTATTCCTGCACAACTACAAAAGTATGGATGAAAAATCAAGACCACCAAACAACATCTATTTTTTAAATAAACAAGTCATTAACAATTTTGTTTAATGAAATTAATAGACATATCTAGTGTTTTTTTTTAATATGACTTTTTTAATATATATATATATATATATATATATATATATATATATATATATATATATATATATATATATATATATATATATATATATATATATATATATATATATATATATATATATATATATATATATATATATATATATATATATATATCCCCCCTTCCAAAATAAAATTAATATTTTCCTAATTTTGTAAAAAATTATTTTAAAGTGATTTTGAGGGCAATGATAAATGTATACTTTATTTCTAAATTTTTGGTACTTGGGGTAGGCTTTCCCCCTGCCCTCCCAGAAAAAAAAAAAATAATATTTTCCTAATTTTGTTATGCCAATAAAATTAAGATTGTTTTGTTAAAATTTTTCCATCAAGTTTTTGGGCTAGGTTGGGTTGGGAGGGGGTGTAGCAATTAGGCATATTACCAAATCCCCCCACTTTTTTTTTTTCTTAAACAAGTTACCAGGAGGATTTTATTTGTGTGGCCAAATTGTGCTAATAACACATACAATTATTTTTTAACTGTATTAAAAAAAATAAAATACAAGTATAAATAATTTTAGAAATTTTTTCTAAAAATCTTGGTTATTTTGTTCAATAATTTTGCCAACTCAATTTCTGAAAATTTGTATAGACAACCATTTGTTGTAAATGTCAAATCAATGGTACATAAAATATGATTTGATGGGACCCAACACATATCTTCTGGTGCAGGCCAAGAAAAACTAGGACTGGGACCATATGGATGCATAAATTGAATTTTATAATCTCCTTCTCCTTCATCTTTTTTGTTTATAATTCCAATCCACCAAAAGCTGTCATACTTGCAAGCTGCATAGCCTTTATATATTTTAAGAAAAAAAAAAAAGTGGGGGGATTTGGTAATATGCCTAATTGTAACACCCCCCCAACCCAACCCAACCTAGCTGGCCTCCTAAAGCTTGATGGAAAAATTTTAACAAAACAATCTTAATTTTATTGGCATAACAAAATTAAAAAAATAAATTTTTTTTTCTGGGAGGGCAGGGGGGAAGCCTACCCCAGGTACCAAAAATTTAGAAATAAAGTGTACATTTATAATTGCCCTCAAAATGACTTTAAAAATAACTTTTTACAAAATTAGGAAAATATTTTTTTTTGGAAGGGCAGGGGGATGGGGGGGGGAATGACCCATATATATATATATATATATATATATATATATATATATATATATATATATATATATATATATATATATATATATATATATATATATATATATATATATATATATATATAGACACACACACACACATATACACATAAATTAAACTTTTTAATTTTAACAAAGATGTTCAGTGTTTGAAAAAAAAAAATTTCCTTATTTTATAAACACTTTTTTACTGTTTATATGGGCTAAAAATGGGTTGAGACTCCCTCCCCCTTAATTTTACCATTTTTCCTAGTTATGACTTTAAGCACTTTTGTTGGATTTTTAAAAAAACATTTTGATTCCTACAAGAAAAATACTCTTGAATAAATAAGGCTTCATTTGAGCAAAACAACATAAAACTTTTCAGTCTCTTTGGCCACTTGTGTAATCTGACTTTCCATAAATCTTATTATTATTACTTATTATTGAAAAATATTTTTATCTTATACTTACGATGCTTAAGTTTTTTTCCATAAACTTCATTAATCCCTGGCCCATTACGTATTAAACTTCCATGAATATCGAGAGGAATTTTTCCTTCAATATCACAGTCTGGTATCCAGTATGATTTTTCATCTTGGCTTTCCCACCCTCGAGACATTGTGTGTGTGTTATAGTATTAATATACTTAACTACAAAAAAAAATTGTTTCAGTACTAAAATTTCATTACTACACTACATTAATATGCTATTACTATACATAGTAATATTATGCCATATTTCAATAAATATATATATAATATATATATATATATATATATATATATATATATATATATATATATATATATATATATATATATATATATATATATATATATATATATATATTTACTCATCATCAGTTTTTAACTGTTTGTAAAGTATTGTATATATATATATATATATATATATATATATATATATATATATATATATATATATATATATATATATATATATATATACAATAGTTTGTCCCTCACTATTGTATATATATATATATATATATATATATATATATATATATATATATATATATATATATATATATATATATATATATATATATATATATATATATATATATATATATATATATATATATATACAATAGTGAGGGACATTTACAAACAGTTAAAAACTGATGATGAGTAAATATATATATATATATATATATATATATATATATATATATATATATATATATATATATATATATATATATATATAAATATATATATATATATATATATATATATATATATATATATATATATATATATATAATAGCTTTTTTTTAAACTATATAAATATATATATATATATATGTATATATATATATATATATATATATATATATATATTTACATAGTTTAAAAAAAAGCTATTATAATTATATTTAACATTGGTAGATTTTACAAATTTATTATACAAACTAAGTTACAGTAAAATACTGAACTATATAAACCGATGATAGTGATCTTCTAACACATGTAGATTATGATAACCTACATGTGTTAAAAGATCACTATCATCGGTTTAAATAGTTCAGTATTTTACTGTAACTTAATTTGCATAATAAATTTGTAAAATCTACCAATATTAAATAAAGTTAAATAAATAAACACATTGTCTTTATTTATATTTTTAATTACAAAATTTTAATTTTTATTAATAAAATAGTAAACAAACACATGACGAAGAAAAATATTCTGTGATCAACAATAAGCTCCCGTTAAGTTCGGTGACGCTACCTAAAAACGAGTAAGCTCTGTCACGGAGGACAGAGTAAGTGTCACGCAAGGTGCTTTGAACTCCGTTTAATAAAGCTCCTCGGTGTCACATAAATAGTCTTCCATAAATGACCACCGCTCTGAGGAAAAGGGATTAGTGGTATTTATTAAAGCTTGTTGGTGTTAAGTAAAGGGTCGTCCATAAATTATGTCAAGCTCTGGGAAGCGGGGCAGAAGGAATTAGTGGTTTGTTGACAACTCGTACGGGATTTATTACTAAAAAGTTACGACGTCGAGACAAGGAGGGGGAAAGGGATCAAAATAAACATCGTGTTCTTGACCAAATCCTTTGCGTAATAATGAATGAAAAACTTGGAGCAAACAACATATCGTCCAATATCGAATATCTGTTTATCCCGGAGCTTTCAAAGAACTACGAACAGCTCAGAAAGAATTTCAAGATTGGTAAAAAAGTGATTACTGAAACAGCAGGATGGTGTGAAAATATGAAATTTCTATTTCGTTCAATTCCACTTTTTTGAAGAGTCTATTTTATTTTCCTAAGTAAAGTTTCAGTTAAATAATGCAAGATGGAACCCCCAACCAATAACCGCTTTTTTGGCAACTTTTCTTCCACCAAATATAAGAGACTACTCGATATTTGTAGATTTATCTCTAAAAAAAGGGCGGACCATAGGTTTCTTTCCAAAAGTACAATGTAGATAACTATCTGAAGCTATATAGCAACTTGTACCGTCATGAAAGCGTTAAACTCAGTGAAAAAGTTTAAGAATCAGGAGCCATTAAGATTAAATACCCATTTTTAAATACCTAGAAGTTTTTGTAGATAAAAATTTATCTTGGTTTTCTCACATAAAATACATCGAATCAAAAATAAACAAAACAATTGGCATAATGTACAGAATGAGCCCATTCATAAATACTCAAAGTCTTAAACTAATACACTTTAACTTAATTCATAGCTACATTAATTATTGTAACATTGCGTGGGCTTGCATACAACCTGCTAAACTTAAAAAGATGTTTAGTGTGCAAAAACATGCTAGCGCAATTATAACCAAAAAAAAATAGATTTGAGCATGGAAAGCGATTAATGAGGGAAATATTGAATGTATATGAGATAAACAGATTTCAACACATGATTTTTATGTACAATCATTATAAAAATCTTATACCAAATAACTTTAAAACAAAATTTAAAATAAATCAAAACAATAACTATTCTCTAAGATCAAATGAGAGGCTTACATATACACTGCCTCATAAATTAATTAAATATACCGAGGACCTAAGATATGGAACAGCTCTAAAAATAGCCATTTCAATATGGTGAAATCAGTAAACTTATTTAACTTTCATATAAAAAAAGAAATTTTGAAGTCAAATGAAACCTTTGAAACTTGATTTACAAAACCTTTTTGATAAACCTTTTTGTTAAACTTAATTTCTTATATTATGCTTTATTTTTTTATTCAACTTATTTATATTTATAGGAGTTGATTCTATTTATGGTCTTTTACTCTACAGGGCCGACGACACGGGTTTTGGAGTAGGGGTGTGGGGGGGGGGGGGCTGGGCACAATCATTAATTCGTGGAAAAAATTCCTCTATATCATGATTTTTCTTTCAAAAAAAAAAAAAGGTTCTTTAGAAAAAAAAAAAGGGGGGGGGCAGACACGCAAGGGCAACGACACCCCTGGCTCCCGCGGTGTCGTCGCCCTTGCTATAAATATATAAAGAAGATGCTAATTTTTTCACACGGGCTCTATAAAAAGATTGTCACAATGTTTTCATAGAACTCGTGTGAAAAAATTATGAAAAATATGACTTTCGGTCATCCATATCTTCGTTGAGTATTTTTCTGTTTATATAAATTGTTTTTTTAATTTTTTTATTTTAATGAAACGTTTCTTCGTATTTTTTTTTTAATTGTATGAGCAGCTAAATATATGTTAAAAAAAAATCCAGAAAAATATTTGACTTGGGCAGTCCCAATGGGCAAGGAATGTAAAAAAGACGTCTTTTAACGTATTTTAAACAACTTTTGCAAGTTTTGGACGTCTTTTGAATGTACAAAAAATATCTCTTTTAGGTCTCGTGCCCACTGAGGTTTTATCTAATAAGGAACAATATAAGGAATAAATTTTTATATCATACGACTACTTAAAAATAAGTAAATGTGTTTTTTTCCAAAAATATCAGCACGAAGAAGATAACAATAAACAAATCAATACATAATGCCATTAATTTCAATGGGACTTACCTCCTCTAAAAGTGAAAACAACGTGTTTTACGTGACCTTCAACCCTTATGTTCCGTTTCTAATGAACTGCTTTTATTGAGTCGTTTGATTCGACAATTCGAAAAACGGAATTACGAAAAAACCATACATGTTTTCTGTCATTATAAATTAACAAAATTCTCAAATATCAAGTGTAAGCCAGAATTCTTTAAATACTTTAAATTTAAATACTATAAATGCTATAAAGTCAAATCTGGGAAAAAATTTCCAAGAAAAAAATTCCTTGGGAAAAAAAAACATCGTGAGAAATCCACCTCCTCAAAAAAAAATAATAATAACAAGCCTTTTTTCCATGAAATTAACAATGAAAAATTCTAAAATAATAAAATTTCTAAATATAGCCTTTAACAAGGAAACGCTAAAAAACTTTTTAGAGTCGCAAAATAGCTGGAAAAGTTAAGTTGGGGCTATCAATTATGTCATTAATTTTTTAGCGATTTTACCTCCCCCTCCCCGTTGTCAACAACTTGTCGAACTTCCAAAGACTTTCCCTTCTCCCTATAAAGTTGAATCAACATTTGATGTTAAAGTTTATTTAATGCCTTAAACTGCCAAACTGAATCTACTATTTTTAAGCAGAGCTAAACAAGCAATATTAATAAAACTCATAAATGAGGTCGTTCATAAATTACGTCACGCATAATATGGCCTTTTTTCCCCCCACGCTCTTGTTACAAATTCGTAACTCTTGGGTAACAAGTTGTCACAAAACCACTAATTTTGTTTTCGAGTTTTTTAACTAGTTTTCCTTTTGAACTATTCTGCAAACTTTTTATAAAATTTAAAAAGCTTTTGATTTATTTCAAACTATTTCTACATTTTTTAAGGACCAAAACTTCCTAAAACATATTTCATTATTATTATTAAATTTTTAAAAGTTTTTAGAAAAAAAAAACAGCATTCAAATTAAAACGCAAGGAAGTTCAGTTTTAAACTTTTCAAATTTTACCCGCTTTTCTTTATATTACATTTCGTATAACTTTACCTTATAAGACCACATTTGCAAACAATAACATTTTTTAAAAGGAGATATTTTGGACGCGTAGTTAATAAATCTATAGTAAACATATATAAATTTGTATGTATATTTTCCATTTGTTTTAAAATATTTAGACAAAATAAGATGGTCATGTTCTATCATTTTTATTAGCCGGCTACCGGGTAATTAGTAATATTCACATGCAAAAAATGGCGGTTATTTGTATATTTATTTAAACATTTTTTTTAGTAATAACTATGTACATATGTTGCATTTAATGTAAGTAAACATAAAATAAAATAATTTTTTAATATTTTTATTTGGAACCGACGTGGTAATTTGTAAATAGCATGTTTATTTCTATATAAGTATTATTTATATGTAAAATACAAAATGCCAAACTAATTTACCTTTAGAAAATAATGACAAGTTCAGCTACAAATACGGCAGCGACAGCGACAACAAAACAATATGGAATAACTTCACCTATAAATTTGTCAGGTCCTAAAGAAATTGTAAGAATGCTGCGTTTTTTTGTTTACTGAGTTATTTTAAATAATTCTAATTGCATATTCTCTTTTTATATAATGCTTATTATATGCATGCTTTATAATTAATCTATTTATATATATGAAACATAGTTATTACCTTTATTATATACAACCATTTAGCCAAAATGTGTTCTTATACAAAAAAATCTATTTCAAAATATTTCTAATCCTCAAATAATTTGAGTGATTGATTACCGCTATCAATATCAGTTGGAGTTAGCGGTCAGTACACCAATTACAATATCATCAATAAGAAGAAGATAATAATATTCCTAGCTTCATAGTGGTTTGAATTGTTTTAGGTCGAATGCTGAAAAGACTGAAATGTTCTTGATTTCAAGTAAAGCACAGATATAGAGTAATACAATAACCATTTCTGGTATTTTAAAAAGATCTTTAGAATTAACTTAAACACTTACGGTTCATATGCAATACCGAACGTTTAATTTTTGCATGACTCAGTTGTTCAAATGTGGATGAAAAAGTCTCAAACTTTAGAGCTGTTGAACAAACTCTTATTCAATCTGGATTCTGGAAAAACTTGTATTTAATCTAGATATCGCTTGCATTAAGGCAAAAAAAATTAAATGTATGCTTTATGAATATTTTTAATGCAGTGTTATAAGTTATATCATGTTTACAAGTAACTTAATATTTTATTATAAATAAAAACGAACACATTGCAAGAGCTATATTGCTTTAAGTGTAAATTCAAGCAAAAAAATTATTAATATTAAAAAAAGAAATTTTTCAGTTTTTTTTCATCATAAAAAAATAAACTTTTTATAAGATGTTGTTTAAAGTTTGTAATAATTAATGTTTTTTCATTTTTTTAATAAAATAATAAAAAAAAAATGTTATAAAATCATTATAACAAAACAAACAAAATATAAAATGTCAAAAGTGGTGCTAATATAAAATAAAAATTTAATATATACTATTTTTCAGCTACTATTTTTTATTGTTATGAGAAATCGCCTAAATAAATTATGAGAAATTACGAAAATTAAATAAATTGCCTGAATAAATATTTTTGCTTTTGCAAGATGATTAATAAAAACTTTTTTGTTATGCTTGTTTTATGATTTTTTTTTTTTACGCGCCTATAACATCTTTTTTTCTTTACATTTTTGATGGAAAAGTTAGGTTAATAAAAATAAAATTTTCTTTGTTTTTTCTTAAGTTATTACATTTGAAAGTAGCGCAAATATCAAATGTAATTGTCATGCAAACTTTTTTATGTAATCTTCATTCAAACTTCATATATTTTATAATGTTACTTACTGCGTATGTAAAATGGTTTACGACATGTAAATGGCTTGCCAGTTTATGCTTAAAAACAAGGCTTGAGGATTGTTTTTCTCCAAAATTAGATTTTAATGAATAGATTAAATTTTATAATTTTTGTATCAATATATTAACTTAACAGTATATAATAATAAGTTTTTTTTTCCTTAAAAAATGCAATCTTATAAAAAAAAATATGGCATTGTTATTTCTATGTTATTTTTATAATGGTATTAAAAAATTACTAGTAATCTGCAGTTTTCACTGTAAACTTCAGATTGCATTTATCACATATCTTTTGGGAAAAACAAGAAGTGATATGTATATGGTGTTTTGCTAATGATTTTTAATAATAGTATTTTATGTAAATATTACGTGTATGAATATAAATAGTATCAGATTTCTATATTTGTCTTATTTGATAATAAAACAAGAAATAAAAAACTGTCAATTCCAGATCTTTTTTTTCTCTCACTAAACAGCAGTAATGTTAACTGGATTTGCTAAAATATAAATAAAAAAATTAGCACCAGAAAAGAAAAGTACAAAAAGTTATTGTCTGGTTACAACTTCAAGATTTGCAAATTACTTTGAATTTGCAAATCTTGAAGTCTTTTTTACCAGATAATAGTTTTTTGTAGTAATTTACAGACAAGCTTAATATCTTTCTGAAAAGATACTGCAATGCCCCAACCCAAACCCTTTTGCTATGTAGCAGGTTTTACTTGCATATTATGCCTACATAATCAGTCAATATATGTACTAAAAGAAGATCACACAGATACCTATTTTAGTATGATATCACTGTGTATCTAATGCTGCATTCATATGTATATATGTATATATGTAAATATTTATATATAAATATCATCATGATCAACATGGTCATCATACCATCATGGTCATCATAATCATGATCGTCATTATTATTAAGCATTAATCTTGATAATGATAATGATTATGATGATCATGATCATCATTATCATCATTTTGTGCTGTTTCTCTGATATAAACAATCTTGAGCATCTTTTTTCCTTAACTAAAGCATTTATACCATATGTAACGCACTCTCTCCAAGTTTTTTTACTTCTAACTCTACCTTTTTTTGCTGCTACTTCTGCTGCTAATAAATCATTATCTAAATAAATAGCAAATATATATGTTTATATGCATATATATATATATATATATATATATATATATATATATATATATATATATATGTATATATATATATATATATATATATATATATATATATATATATATATATCCATATTTTTTACGCATAAATGTGCCTTTTATTTAACCTACTGAATTCAAGTCGGTAAGGAAGCTTTTATTCTTTCTGTTTGGTTTTAAATTAGGCCTCATTTTACTCATGACCTCTCTAACTATCTTTTGATTAGTCTTTTCTCAGTTATTATATTCTTTACATAAAAGTTTCAAGATTAGTAAACCATTTATTTCTAACTGCAGTATTAAGTCATTCTCGAAGGTCTTCACTCTTCTTCATTTCTAGTAACTTTAAGGGTGCTACAAGGTTCTATCCTTGCTCCTATATTATTTCTTCTTTTTCTGACAATCGAAGATCTAAAGTGACTCTACTTGCTGGCAACTCATTTTTATACTCTAACAGAAAACTTGACAAAAATTTTTCACTTTTTGATTGCTAAGAACATGCACCAGAGCTTTAATCTAATCTCTCATCTGTAACAGCTTTGTGTTTGCAGTGGTTATTTATTGAAAACAACTATAGCAATATTGTTGACATTTTTATATTGACAAATAACAACCCTCTCACTCTCAGACAAGGTCCAAATGCACATTGTAAATGTAGTTGTACAAGTTTTATCTGTCAAGCTTAATCTAGTCTCCCATTGTCATAAGGTTGCATCTCTTTCTTTTTCCTACAAATATTATCATAGTTGCTGTTCAAACAAGCTTTCACCTCTAGTTAGATAAACCAAAACTCAATCTCGCTTTGCTTATCATTCAGCAAAATTGCATCCTATTACAGTATTAATCCTTCATTCTATAAAGTTTTTTATTGTTTCACTCACTTTTATAAATATTTTTTGATATTTTGCTGAATTTTTGTGGTTTTTTTGATGCTGATCAAAATAGATCAGCATAAAAAAAAAAGAATCAAAAGTATAATAAATTAATTTGTTTTAAGTAAGTCATTAAAATAAAAAGTAAACTACTAAATAAAAGCTAGAAATAAAATAAAAGCTAAAAACAGAATAAAGTGCAAAGAAATATTTAATTTCTGATGTAAAGTAAATTTAATAAAAAGTTGCCAACAGATTTTGGATTTCGTGTTATAACCTTCATTTAGAGTCCTCTTGCCACTTCCCAATTTTTAGCCAACTCTGGCTCTTTTGTTTTGGAATGTTTAGCATATCTTAATCTTTTAACTTTATTTAGTTGGCATAGTAATGTTTTTTTTTTGGCAGCAACACATCCTTTTAAGCCATAATTGCAAAGGTATTTTATGGTTGAAAAAGAAACTGGTGTTTCCAGCATGAAATTAAGTTCTTGGCAAATTTCAGGAGCAGTTCGACTACAATTTCTTTTACTTTGAACACAGATAAATTTTTCAATATGATTCAGCATTGCTTAAGGCCTCCCCAAATGATAGCAACTCTGATTACAACCAGTTTCGCTCTTTTTTTGCAACACCCTCATGACTGCATTTTAAAGCAGTTTTCCGTGTTGAATAACCTTGTGTAGCAGCAAATTTATCTACACTCTGCTTTGCTTTTTTATCCATTTTTCTTCAAATAAAACATAAAGTTTTTGCAAGTTTTAATTCTATGACAAAATTCTTTAAATTATTTGAATGTGCATAACAATTATTCAATATTTAACACTAACAATGTTTCAATATAAAAATACCTTAACCTTTTTGTATAAAAAATACTTTAAAACATGACAGTGAAAAAAAAAGTTAATATTACAATAGAATAACTCCAATTATTACAGCAAAATATACCCAACTTTAATAGCTGTATACCCAAAGTATTCATCATTGTATATTATGATAAACATATTCTCTACATGTCTTCCCAGGAAGTGTGTGTGGTTGCACGCCTTGTTCATCTATGTTTAAAGTAATTTTTTAAGACATCTTGACCACATTTTTATTTAGTAAACATTAACAAAATTTGCTGCAAAATAAAGCTATAAGAAAATACAGAGAATAAAACAGAAATACTCGAATAAAGGAAACAAATACTATATAAAATAGAAAATGTTAATAAAATAAACTAAAAAAAAAATTGAAAATTAGAAAAAGAAAAGTTTAGTCAAAAAAAATAATATACCTAAATATTTTATTGTTTTTATTTTGCTTTTTTTTAAGGGTGTTAGTAAGTCAAGAAAAAAAGCAGATAAAAATATTAAAAAAATAAAACATTTTTTGATATACAATTAATTTGTAACCTTTATCAGTCAGTATATTAAGGAATTACTCTATTATTTGCGCTAGAAATATGGACAATTTTTAAATTTATTTTTCAAATGTTTTTGCTAAGCTTTTCTGTTTTAATCAAAGCACAGGACAGCAAGAAAAACAATTGCTATTTATTTGTAAAAAAAAAATTAAAAATTTCTTAACAAGTTTTATATGTAAAAAATAAAATGTCATTAATACTAATATTCAAGAAGACATTCCAAAAGCTTGTGGGCTAGTGCATTGTTTACTGAACTTTTTTAACGAAATTTTTTGGAGCCTATTTAAAACTTTTTTTAAGTTTTTAAATACATTTTTTCAAATAGAGCAATCGTTATGTTTATTATCTTTAGTAATTCGTATTAACCTTGGAAATTGGGCAATCTAAAGAAAACAATTTCAGACAGGCATCAAGTGTGGTAAATACATTTATAAAAAAAAACCATGCTATTCTTTTATTTAATTTTTTCTGTCATTACAAAATTTACTAATCAAATAATATAATTTACAAATAAATAATTCCTATTGTATAAGTATTGAGAAAAAATATAATATACAGCAAAAACATTTTTAAAAGAGGAAAGGCATGAAAATGAATAAATGTAATAAAAAAAAATTAACAAAATTTCTCATTCTAGTGTACATAGCAAATAAGTTTTTGATGATACGGAATGATAAAAATCAAAACTTTCAATTATTGTTAAATTGCTATAAAATGTTATTTTCCCTCAACTTGTATTAAATTAAGTAGCTAAAAATAACAACCCCCCTAAAAAAAAAATAGAAAAGTTGTATAAAAATTTTATAAAAAAGTTTTTTTTTTAATTTTCTTTTTTTAATTATTAATTTTTTCTTGTTTACTTAAATTAAAATGTAATATTTTGTTACAATTTTGTTTCCTTTTTTTAGTATTGTTTTTTGTTTTTTTTTTCGGTTCAGGGTTATTAAAGCAAAAAACATAAAAGCAAAAAAATTACTGTTTTCTATTAGCATACTTTAAATATTAGATAAAAACTTTTAAAAAAATGAAAAGAATATATATTCAAATATATTTGAAGCAGCTGATAATATTGAGTTTTTAATAGATTATTAATTTAAATAAAAAGTTAATTTAATGCAACATTTTGAAAATTGTTGAAAAAAAATAATAAAGGAGGTATTCAGTTTAACATCTATTTGCTTTTAAACTTTTTTGCTTTAGTTTCTTAATTCCTTTTTTTCCTCAATAAAAAAAAGTTTTGCTGCGAATTATTAAAACGCTTTAAAAGTTAAAAGATAGGAACTGTTGTGGTCAGTGTGTCTAAAAAAGTTACTTTACACATGGACAAAGAAGGCGTGCATCCTCACGCCCTTCCTGGGAATGCTTGCTCTATGTTCACAAATAGGTGTGTGAATTTCTTTTTAATGAAAATGCATAATAAATTTGTAAAATTATTGTTAAGCTAGTGTAGTAACTTTGATCGAAAAACATTTTTTTTAGCTAGATAAAACAGTTAATTCCCAGTAAGTTTAACTCAAACTTTTGTTATCTCGAACTGTTTTATGTATACCTTTGAAAGCAAGAATAATTGTTTCAGATCTCTTAAGTCGAACATTTGTTTAGTCGAATCATTTTCCTTGGTACCTTGGAGGTTCAAATTAACAGGAATTTACTTTTGTATTTATGCAATATAGATATATAAAATTATGTTTTATGTCAGGTTTTGCTTTATTGTTAACTTCACATGATAATGTTTTTAGGATGAAGAACTCACAAAATCTCTGGAAGAAACATTGAAAGATTATGGGGTCTTTGAGACACAAGAGCAAATCCAACACAGGTAGTTACATTTTAGTTAAAGGTAAATAAACTATAATTCTGAATACTATTTACAATGACACTTCAAATTTTATATTTAATATACAGGATGGTTGTTTTGGAAAAACTGAACAAACTAGCTTTAGAATGGATTGTTAAAACGTCAATCGCCAAGGTTTATTATAATACATTTTTAAAATTATTTTTTAAGCATAAAATTTACAAAACTCTGAAAGAGTGACTCAATTATTAAATATATATATACGTAATAAATAGCCAATGAAACAAGTTAATTAAATTTTATAAAATCATGTTTCTAATGATGACTTTTTTGTTTTTATATAAATTTTATAAATTTAGACTTATACTTAAAAAAATAATTTGATTTCACAAAAAAAAAAAAAAAAGAAAAAAACACAATTAGTCATTATCTCTTAATCAAACCATAATATTTTCAGAAATTTTTTGCTGATAAGCTTATTCTTATTGTGAATTATAAACAAATAACAACAATCTTATAGCAATTTTTTATTTTAAAATACAATGTAAATAACAATGGTTGCATGTTGATTTTTGATATCTTTAAAGGGATCCCCAACTTCCGAGATAAGTTGTGTTCATTTTAAAGAAAATGTTACAAAAAAAACATTTGGGCTAAATTTTTTTGATATAATTATATATATATATATATATATATATATATATATATATATATATATATATATATATATATATATATATATATATATATATATATATATATATATATATATATATATATATATTTAATTATAATTTTTTTTTACTTGCTTTGTTATTACTTTCTTTTAAAAGCAAGCCAAAATCATGAAACAATTATATTTTGTGATTATTAGAGTTCGCAGGCAGAGAAAAAATAAAGGCAGTATGATGCTGTTTCTCGTTTTATATTTAGTTTAATAGAGTTTTTTAGTTTAATAGAGTTTTTTAATTTGTGTTTAAATTACATTTAGTTATGGTTTAACTCTTTCACTACCGCAAGCCACTGGTAGCGGCTTTCAAGTATGCTTAACAATTTATCTTTTTTTGTACATATGCGGTAGTATATGTACATTATGCGGTAGTGGTGTAGTGGTAAAACACTCGCTTCATTAGCCAGAGGTTCCAAGTTCGATCCCCACTACGTCCCTGATAGTACCTTGCTCAACTTGTTTCTCCGTGTAGCAGCCTTGTTCATCAAGGTTCGTGTTTTGGAGTTATAGAGTTAAGAGAGGATTACAACCACTATTGAGTAGCCTCTTCGTCTGCAGTGGCCTTCTCAGCCTTGAGGAGGTGAATAACCAAAAAAAAAAAACAAAAAAAACATAAATTTTCATTCTAGACACATAATTTGTTTGTTCTAAAGGTTTAATTAATTCTCTACATAATCAAGAAAAAATAAGGGCTATATTGTGCAATTATGAAAAAGTTATCACAAAGTTAAAAAATCTTGAATAATCCTTCTTAAAAAAAACCTTAAAATTAGTTATAAAATAAAACAGTGTTAACACTGTAAAACTTAACTTGTAGAAGTGTTAAGTATTTAGTTAAGTAATTACCAAATTATTTTGAAAAAAATATATTATTTTTGTTCATTAAATGAGGTTTGTTTTGGATTGTTTTAATTTTGGACATGTTTTAGTTAACTAGTTACTACTTATAAAACAATAGTTTTAAGCACTTTGCATTTCTTATTGTTTAATGATGCATGTTAAAAACTATTATTATCAAATTTTAAAAAATTGTCAAATGTTATTCAAAAAAATGTGCAGTTGCTACAAAAAGATTTTTGTTTGGCTGGTAGCGAACAATTTAATGCGATTCTTTGTTTTTATATTTATATTATAACTATTTTTTATATATTTTAGTACAAATATTTGTTTTAACTTTAATTTGATTTATTTTAAACAGTTATTAATAAAATAATTTGTTTAATATTTATTTTCTATTTAGTTCAGTTTATATGTTTTATTCAAGTCACTTGTTTTTTATTCAGTTTATACTTAAAATTAGTTTATACGTTTTAGTAAAATTATTCTTTTACTAAAACTTACTTTTATCTAGTTTATATTTAGTTTAAACTAGTACGTTCACTGAAAATATTCGTTATATATTAAATTTTTATTTTTATAGATTTTATAAATTTAATTCTTAATATCATCATAAACTTTTTTTGGGGATTTAGTAAATAGTTATACAATTAACACGATTTGGTGATTGTGGCAAAAAAAAAAAAAAATAGTACGACATCTTGAAAGAAAAAATTTATATGATGACATCATATACCGAAACTGTTATGAATTAAACACGCATGGAATAAATTATCAAGTCTGCAGATTATGGCTTACATTATACAGACTCTGAGAATAAAAAAAAAATGGAGACGGCGAGCTAAAACGTGAATTTTAAATTTAATGGTGTGCATTCATTATATAGTTTTAATCAAAAAAATTAAGCCCAAATGTTTTTTTTAAACATTTTCTTTAACATGAACACAGCTTGTCTCAGCAGTTGGGAATCCCTTCAACTATTCTAAAAACGATGGATTTATAATTAAACAATTTTGATTTTCAAACGACAACTTTTTCATAAAAGAGTATATATGCACTCATTATCAAGTATGATATATATATTTTTTACAAGTTATTATTTATTTAAATTTTAAAACTATTAAAACAAAAAGCTAGTACAAATCAATGCAGTAATTTTCTCTGGAGTAATAATGGAAACACTGAAACACTTCCAAAACTAAGTTGTAACCTTATCTCTGTTATCCTGATTCAGACAGCCATCTAAAGGTGCACATTTATGAAATATCTCTTTAATCCCTTTCACAAAAAAGTAAAAAACATTCTCAAAGTAGAAGTTAACGATTTCAACTGAAAAGTGAGAGAGGCATTAGATGTTTCTTGAATGGATTTAGGCTGCAATCTAAATCAGAATGGCAAAGGTTATATGATTACTTCGCTTTGAAAATAAATATTATGATATTTGTTACTTGAGTGATTTTTTTTTTGTTTGAACAGTTTTTATATCATATTATAACTAATGTATCTATAGTCTCTTATAAAAAAGCAAATTAAATTTTTTTTTTCTTCCCTCATCAATGTTGTGTTTATAACCAGAGTAAGAACTGAACCTCAGATATATTAGTTCTACTCCATGTGAGCTAAACTTTTTCACATATTGGAAATTATGCAAAAAAAAATTTAAATGCACTTAATATGGTATGCACATAGTTACATTTACCAAAGAAGAATGTAAACTAATAAATTATTTCAGATGTTTTATCAGGAAATAGATTTTATAACTTGTTTTACCTGAATTTTGATCCCATTTTTATAGAATTGTATAATAATATTTAGAATATGCCAGAGTCTGTTGCAAATTCTGTTGGAGGCAAAATTTTTACATTTGGATCATTTCGTCTTGGAGTTCACACCAAAGGTAAAAAAATTTCATTAGACTTTCAATAGTAGATCAATTGTAACCTATTAAAATTATTACTTATAAATTAATATTATATTGTAATACTATTAGCTTAATATTAAACAAATTTATTTGCAACAGTTAACAAGCTAAAGTGATGATTTTGTTACAATTAAAAGTAATTTTTTTGCTACTTAATATATAAAATTGTTTATTTTAAAATAGGCGTGTTGACACAACACCATTTTAAAGTAATCGACGTTATTTTTAAATATGCATGTTGATGCAACATTTTTTAGAGTAATAAATGTTATTTTAAAATAAGAGTTTGACGCAACATGTTTTTTAGATTAAAAGTAATAGTAATACAAACTGCTGTAACTATAATAGTAATATAAACTGTGACAACTATTGTCACAGAGCATAAAGTTTGAAATTTATACTTTAACAGCTGTAAACAAATGTTTATCTAGTCTAGCTTAAAAAAAATTTGCTGTCTTTAAAGATACCACATTTTCAAGTAAGGCATTCCATTGAGGTATCACTCTGTAAAAAATATGTCTCAGGGTCGTTTTTGAGAATTCCCTTTCAAATTTTATTGAATGACCACTTAGACTTTAGGAAGAAGGTTTATGAAGCTCTTTATACCACCATATCTTATCAATCCCAGTTTTTATTTTTAAAAACTCAATAAAATCACCTCCTATACGTCTTTTTTCCAGTATAACTTTTATGTTTTAGTTCAAGTGCTAATTTTGTTGCTTGTCTTTAAACTTTTTCCAGGTCATTAATATTTTTGTTATTACTTAAACGTCATACTGGAGCTGCGAATTCTAGGTGTGTTCTAACCATTGATGTGTTTAACTGCCTTACCATTTCAGTTTTAAGATAAGTAAAGCTTTTTCTGGTTAAGCATAAGATTCTTTGTGCTTTACATGTAGCTCACTACTTGATGATTCTATTTCATATTGCATGAAACTATTACACTTAAGTCTAATTCTTCTATTGTTGTTTTTAGAGGAAATCTTTGATTGCCTTGTTTCATTGTTTTAGTTAATATTTTTTCTTCCGATGTGCATAACACTGCATTTACTTTATTGCATTAACTATAAATTTGACCATTCAGTCAACAAATCAGTGTCATTTTGCATATTAATTAAATCGTTATCTTGTTTTATAAGTAGATAGTTATATATACTTATAAAACATATAGTTTTGCAATTGTAGAGATACATTTAGGAAGATAATTGATATATAATAAAAAGACAAGAGTACCTTATTCAGAACCTTGTGGTACACTACAAATCTTGCACCACTTTTATATAACTTCACTTATTACCACTCTTAGTTTTCTGTCTTTTTAAAAAAGTCTCAATCCAATTTAAAGTATGTATAAAGTGTCAATACATATTAATGTTATTTTAATATAGGCTAAGTGTTTTTTTTTTTCTTGTTTTTTTTTTGTTGAAATTCAATTTTATTAATTTGAATATATAAAATTTTTAGTTGAATTATTATAAAATAATAAAATGGTTGAATTATTATTATTCAACCATTTTATTATAGTTTATTAAAAAACTATTTTTTATAGTTTATAATTTAATTTTAATTTTATTGCATGTATAGACATAAAATTTAGTCACTTAAATTTTAGCATAAATTAGAATTTGAAAATTTTGATTTCTAGTTGGTAACAAATTAAGAGTATGAAACACCTGTACTCTATTTTGTTACAAAATTAAATAAAATAAAAAGATTAAATATTAAACACTATTTTATTTTCTCAAAACTGAGGTTTTTCCCAAACAGAGGTTCAGGAAGTTTTTATTTGAAAATATTGTTTAAAAATCTGGTTTTATTTTCCAAAAAAAAAAAAAATGATTTTAATTAAAATTAAATTTTATTGCTGGTTACATTTTTTGTGATATAAATGCATTTTTTAAAATGTTTTTAATAAAAATGTTTTCTAAATAAACATCACAAGGCTCAAATTAATCATATGGCTTTCCGAATTAGGAAAAAGCATATGATAAATTAGTTGTGTAAAAAGTGCAAAAAGCATAAGGTTAATAAAATTAATCGTATGTTTTTGCACTTTTGCGATTAGTATTTTATTTAACAAAAAATTCTAATTTAGCTTTTTTTTGTGGCCATTCTTGAAAATATAGAATAAATATTTTTGTCAAGTTTATCACACTAAATTTATTAAAAAATTTATTTACAATTACAAAATTAAGTACAAAAGACACTGTTTTCTACTGGTGTACCCCCTCCCCCTCATCCTACTGCAAATTGGGCAGGCAGAGGGAATTTCAAATTAAAGATTCAAAAAGTTGTTGCAATTATTATTATTAATTTTTTTTTGCGTTAATTTGAGCCCTGCATCACATAGCAATTTCAAGTTTTAACATTACAACAGATATAAATAAAGTTAGCATTATGCTTATGTTTTTGTATGTGATGTGTGTGCAGTTTAATGCTTCTTAACAAGGCTTGAAACAACATATTAGACCGTCCCCTATTGTAAAATTGCAAGTTATTCAAAACAGTAAAGATCCAAAATTTTTAGCTATTTTGGCTTTTTTTTTTGTATTTAATTAGAGTAGGCAGATTTTATCAAGGAAAAAAAAAAATTCAGTTTTCCCAAAATTTATAAGAACATCCCTACTTTTTTTTTTACATTCTGCCTAACCCCTCCCTAACTGCCTATGGGTACTTACTGTATGGATGCTTCCAAATCAATATTGACATGTTTAATAGACTGAGATTTGCACTTTAATTAATTTAATAACAAACTTATCATTTAATCAAAATTAGATTATCTATAAAATTATTTTTATTTTCTCATGTTTGAAAACAATATAGATACTATGTATATACTATATAGATACAGCCCTCGAAATTAGGGTCGTCATTTGGCAATGCTGACCTTTCTACCGAGAAAAATTGCTGACCTCATTTTTCCTAATTATTAAGGCTGCAGATGTAAAATTATATAGATGCCAAACATATACATTTATCTATCATTTATTCATTACTAAATTAAAAGATTTCTTATACAAAAGAACATTTTTGATTTCTTGATTTGCATTGTAGATAATTTTTATTTCTTTCAATATTTTTAGGTGCTGATATTGGTACTTTGCTTGTTGCACCAAGGCATATTGAACGAGCAGATTTCTTTGGTTCATTTTATGAATTTTTAAAAAACAGAGAAGAAACAAAGGATTTGCGGGTACTTATTTTTTTTAAAAGAACGACTGAAAATGATAGTGCTTTTGTTTTTTTAAATATTAAACATTTATATTTTTTGAAATATTGTCTTTGCATTTACCGTATGCGATCGCAAATTTTGTTAAAAAAATTATTTTTTGACCAAAATTAATGCGGAATGAAAATTTGAAGCTAAAAAGAGGTTTCATATATTAAAAGGTGTTTAGAGACATATACTACATTTTTATTCAATGTATTCTCCGTCAGCATCAACCACAGCTTTAAGACGACGCCTGAACCTGGAACAGGTGGTCTGGATATGGCCCTTGAGCATCTTGTTCCACTCCTTCTTGATGACAGCCTTCAAGGGTTTGACACTTTTATGGGGACTTTGACAATCCCTTAACTCTACATACACCCAAATTAATCAAGAGGACAAATCTGGAAATCGAGGTGGCTATAACGCTTTTAACCATTGTTTTGGCAAGTTCTCCTGGAGCCATTGCTGGGTCTTATGAGATGAATGTGGTAGTGCTCCATTTTGCTGGAACACCACATTGTTGTCTGGAGAATAGTGGCCATCGATCCAGGGCTTGACATAATTCTCCAGAGTTTATATGTATTCATTGGTGTCAACTGAAAACCGAATCCATTTTGAGACCATCAGATGAAACCAGGCCAAACATCAAAACTGAAACAGAATGTTTTGTATACTTTACATGTCCTGAAGCTGCTTAGACTAGTTTATGACTAATAAAACCATTGGTTCTACTGTTTGACACAGAATCATCAGTAAACAATTTTTTATCTGAGAAGAGGAAGGCTGTTAGCCTCTTCTTTAAGAGGCTCAGAAGTTTCTTTGATCTTTTTATTTTGAAACTTAGGGAAACCAGGTGTTTCTTAATCCTGGCTCTTGACTTTGCTTAAGATCCTTTCTGACTACCATCCTTTCTAATGGTGTGCTCACTCGCTGAGAGCTCTTTAGCCATTTTCCTCATTGACTTTACTGGATTCCGAGAAATTTGGCCCTTAACAGCCTTGATTTTTTGAGAAGTTCAAACTGACCTCTTTAAACCACTGCTAAACTTCCTCTTAACAGGACCAGTCATTTAAAAATGCTTAATCACAGTGTAGACAGTACTTAAAGGCTTAGCATCTTAAAAATGTCTTTGGTCGTGGTGACATTTATCGCCAGGTCAATTGGTTTATACTCATATATAGGTCAATTGGTTTACTACTGATTTTCACTTTTTGCCTTTTTTTTAGTTTATTTCTATTTTTATTGTCAACAAAAACAAACAATGTATGTAAAAATACCAATTGAACATTTATTTTGAAATTACTAAACTTATTACGAGATTTGCGGTCACATACGGTATTAAAAAACTGTGTTATGTGAAGCATACTGTCATATGTTAATATATATTATATATTATTATATTATACATGTTATGAAAAATAGTTGTATCTATTGATTACCATTTACCATTATCTTTTGCATTATAGGCTGTAGAAAAAGCATTTGTTCCAGTCATTAAAATGAACTTTGATGGTATTGAGGTATTTTAACAATATAAATATTTATCAATTCTTTTTATTGATAATATATTTTTATATTTTATTTAAAAAACAAATGGTTGTGCCGTATTTTACTTGCATATTGAATGCTCTACAGGTTTTGAAATATGTTTTTGTTATTTTAAACAAAACACTTTCATATTTATTAGCTTTGAACTATTGCACATTTACTGGTAAAGTTAAAGTTCACAAATTAACTATAAATTTTTTTTTTTTAATTTTAAAAATCTCTATAAATATCTGTAAATAATTTGATTTACTAAACTTAAAATGTCACAAGCTTACATAAGTTGGTCATTAAAATTTTTTTTTTGAACACAAGTAATTCTAATTAGCTAATTAGTTTGACCAAGTAGCTTTTAAAGAATTTGACGAAGCAACTTTTAAAAAGTCTTTTTTTTTTTTTTTTCAAATAGTTTTACCTTCTTAAAAAAAGAAATCAAAGAGATCAGATTTCTTACAAATTTAAAAATACTTTTAAATTTGTAAAGAAAAAAACAAACAACAATTTAAATGTTTTTTAACCTAAAAAGAATTTTTTAGCCACTTTTTATAAGTTTTAGGGAATTGTGCAAAGTTTACACTAATTAATGTTGCAATTATATAGTGTATTGCAACACTCTATAATGCATTATATTGCTACTTCATTGCAACATAAAACCCATCATATATTTGCAACAAAATTAAAATTGCTATTTTTTAAATTTCTAGAGAGTAGGATAAAGAAATAAGTTGGTATGAAATCAAAATTAAATTTTTATATTTTAAATTAGGGCTTTACAATAAACTTCTCACATAAAAAAAGATGATAGATTTATTTGTTTCAAGTTAATTTTTTATGAAGTTTATCAAAAGAATGAATTTAAAATTAAAAAATATTAAATATAAATGTTGAAATAAATAAATCTTTATAACTCTTTAATATACCTTTTTATGAAAAACAAAAATAATAAATATAAATTTATAAAGTATATTGAAATCCTAGGTCAGGTCAGGTTATCTTGCTACTAGTAACATGTAGCCCAGTACAACCTGCTTCATGTCTTGCTGTCTTTATGGATACGGTTTTTTAGGCAAAAGCTAGGAAAAAGCCGACTCTGACTTTAAACACTCCCTGCCTTGGGGCTCTTGGTTTAATAAAGGTTGGAGATGGTGTCTCAATAGAAATGCTCATCTTGGGTTAATACATCTAGCTAACATCTTGTAGAAGACCTCCTAGGCAAAGACTTAAGGGGTAAACAGATTCTTTCTGTTGACCAGCCTCGCACCGCTTCTTTATCTATTAGGCTGGCTTAGATGTAGTCACAAGTAACAAGCCCTTTCTCCTTATCCTTCAGCCAATATTGTTGTTGTTAGTGAATAGCTTGGCTCTAGCGTCAGTGGCTGCAGGAATTAAGGCCACAACATTTGCCTTTCTCAATCTATAACTCAAGTAGTCAATTTTCCAACTTGCTATCGAGACAATCTGAATCATTCACCTTCTCTACTCGACTTATATCTTGTTTCTGATTTTAGTCAGTGCTCAGTTTTTCCACATTCACTCTTAGGTGCTTCTGATCATGGCTAAAACTATTATCTCATTCTTCTTTATCATCAGAATCTCCCTATCATCATACCTCTTACAACTACCTTAAAGCTGACTGGGACTCTTGATTTTCTTCATGATAACCCTTCTGCTTTTATTCCCTATTGAATATACTAAGTCAAGTTTCACTCTTCTCCTTGGTTTTCCTCTCATTTTCAATCGAATCTCATAACCTACTTTCTGATCATCAATATGGATTTCGATCTTCTCGTTTTACGGCTTAAAAGTGGAGAGGTTAAGGCCATCGCTCTTGACATTTCTAAAGTGTTTGATAAAGTTTGGCATGCTGGTCTTCTCTATAAGCTATCAACTTACAGTGTATCTGGAAACATCATTAAGATTATTGAATCCTTCCTTTCCAATCGTAGTATAAAAGTTGTCCTTGATGGACATCACTCTTCTTCTTATTCTGTAATCTCAGGGGTTCCTTAAAGTTCAATCCTTGGCCCTATACTCTTTTTAATTTACATTAACAATCTTCCAGATATTCTCACATCTAAGGTGGCATTGTTCACTACTATGATACTACCATTTATTCTTGTCACGATAAGAAGCCAACTCCCTCTGATTGCTTGCAGGGGGCATCTGAGCTTGAAAAGGATCTCACTTCTGCTACAGCATGGGGCTCATAGTGGCTGAACTTTAACTCAGATAAAACTCAATTTTTTTCAGTCAATCATTATCGCAATAATTTAGACCTTCCCATATTTATAAACAGTTATGTACTCGATGAGTCTCCTACCCTTCATCTTCTAGGATTAACTCTTACTTCTGATCTTTCTTGAAAACCATATATTGAATCCGTTGCAAAATTAGCATCTGATAAAGTTCCGTCTCTTTATCAAGCTCGATACTTTCATACTCTGGATTCTATTCTCTATCTCTATAAATCTCAAATCCGACCTTGTATGGAATATTGTTGCCATATCTGGGGCAGATCTTCTAATGATGCAGGCTTGGTCGGGAAGCGGGAGCGATCGCTCTCGAATACTGACCACGGAAATTATATTTAGTTGCGTAAAACTGGACAGGTTTTTTAGTCGTTTTGAGAACATTTAAGTTTATGTACGAAACAAAAAATTTTTGTTTTACGGACATACATGGAAACATAAAAAACTTGAATGCTCTCAAAACATCTTTGTGCAAAAGAATAAAAAGAATATTTGCGAACACTAAAAACCCGCCAAATTAACGAACAAACTAATTCTATTGGTTCAAAAAATACGCTGATTAAGCGAAATAAAGTTCTAGAGTATTCTGTTAAAATGTTTTAGAAATTGTACTACACACGATTTGTTACGTTTTGAGATTTCTAGCATTGTTTTAAGAATATATATTATTTGTTTACGAAAATAAATATTTTAAATATATATTGATTAAATTGTTAAAATTTTAAAAGTTTATTATAAATCATAGATTTTATTTGTATATTCTTATTTTTTATTTTAAAAGAGACTGTATTCTTTATGTAAATGTAATTTTGTGTATTTTTTTTTTTTATAGTAATGTATCTTTTAAAACAATTTTTATGATTTAAACAAAGACTTACAAAAATAATTGCGTTTTCAATGAAGTTATAATCGTTAAAGTTAATAAAACTAATTATGCAACAAACATATAAGTAGTTTCTGGTTATTAAACACAAACAACGCATACAAAGTAACTCGCGGATGAACAAGCATCGCGCCTGAGGTCACGACAGAACACAAATATATATAGCAAATAATTAGATATAAAGAAAAGTTTCTAGATATTGGTTTACTTACTCTAATTATTTTCGCTTAAGTTGCCATTCTTAAAACTCGTTATACTTTTTTCTGCTTTAAATACTAATTAAAATTAAAAAGCCCACTCACTAAACATCATCAGCGATATTGTAAAGCAGTTTCGCTTCCTGGTCATTAAGTATTTTTAACCTTTTTAGTTGATTTCTATCTTGATAATTTAATTCCTATAGTAATTCAATGATTTAATTATTTCATTTGTTTATCTTACTAAGAAGAATCGCTTCAAATATGTTAAACTTTTCAAACTACGCGAAACATAAAACAGGTATTAAAAAAATTAACTTTTTTATTTATAAAATAATTTAGCTTAAGTAAAACTAAAATTTGCAAACTTAGTTAAATAAAGAATATTTATTTCCCTTTTAAACAATCGTAAGTTGTTACTTTATATAAAAAACATCGCTTAATTTTATTTTTTTTTATAATTGTCTCTCATCGGTCCAATTAATCTTCGTCGTTTTTTTTTTTTGCCTTTTAAAATGTTCTCAAAACGACAAAAAATCTGGCCAGCTTTTCGCAACTAAATATTATTTACGTGGTCAGCAATCGAGAGCGATCGCTCCCGCTTCCCGACCAAGCCTGATGATGCCTTTTCTCTTTTAGACAAGGTGCAAAAACGCATTGTAAACATAGTTGGACCTGCTCTTGCAGCCAACCTTGAACCTCTGTCACATTGTCGTAACGTTGCTTCTCTTTCTCTTTTCTACAAATACTATAATGGGCACTGCTCTAAATAGCTATCGTCTCTTGTGCCATCTACTAGAATTCACTCTCGTGTTACTCGTCATTCAATTAAGTCTCATCCTTTTTCTGTTACTGTTCCTAAGTTTTTTTTTTGTTTTTATTTGCATTCACTCCCAACAAGGCTGCAAGCAACCACTATTAAGTTGGGAGTTACTAGGAAAAAAAAGAACAGAGTTATAGAGCAAGGAAACGATTGACAGAAGACTTGAAAAGTTGAAGGTTGTATGAGTCAGGAAAACATGAAGATTGGAGAGAGTTCCAAAGGATTGAAGTGCGGGGAAAAAATCTAGATAAATAAAAGTTTTTAGAGCATGCAGGGGCAGATACAGTAAACGAATGAGACTTAGCTGAATGACGAGTAAAATGAGAATGAATTTTAGTTGATGGAACTACAGATGATAACTCCTTTGAGCAGTGACCATGATAGTATTTGTAGAGGAAAGAGATGCAACTTTACGACGATGGGAAAGAGGTTCAAGCTTAGTAGATAGTCCAGGTCCAACAACATTTACAATGCGTTTTTGGACCTTGTCAAGAAGAGAGAGTGAATCGTTAGAAGAACCAGCCCAAATATGACAACAGTGTTCCATACAGGGACGAATAAGAGATTTGTAGAGATAGAGAATGGAATCAGAAGTAAGGAAATGGCGAGCACGATAAAGAGAAGCAACCTTAGCAGAAGCTAATTTAGCAATCGATATATGGTTTCCATGAAAGGTCAGTAGTAAGCGATAATCCAAGAAGACGTAAAGAGGACGACTCAGTAAGAGGATTGCCATTCATTAATATAGGAATGTTGACCATATTACGGTAGTTGTTTGCAGTAAGCAATTGGGTTTTTTTAGAGTTGAAATTCACAAGCCACT